TGAATGTAAATTTCTGCCACCCCAATCTTCTTTTTATTTGATATAGTCTGGTTGGTTGAGTTTGAATGTTAGTTGGGGCTATAGAGGGAAGAGAAATGTGTACGGGAAACTAGAACTGTAAAGGACCTTGAGGGCCTTTTATATCATGGAGACCATTGGAAGATTTGATTTTTCTGCCATAATTTAGTCAAAAGGGTGATCAGTGGACAGTAGGGGCTGTAGTTTCCCTTACCTTAAGGTAAGTGATTTGAATATGATTTCCAGCCCTTGTGCAAGCTGGCCTAGTTCTTAACTCTTTAGTTAATTCAGGTTCCCAACCCAAATCCTGGAATCTTTGCCACTACTTCTCTTGGGCATGCCCTGGAATTCACATTTGGTCAGCTGAGTTCTGTGAGTCTGCTGAAAGCTCTGCTTAGTTTCTTGGCTACTTTTGCCTTCAGAATCAGCAGTTTGCTTTAAGTAGAAAAGTGCCGCAAATGCCAGCCCACCTCTGTTGGCTTTTTTTCCTTTCCATATTTTGATAATTTTTGAAAATAGCATCCTAATGAATGTGACATAGTTCCTTTCCAAATTTGGGTAATTTTCACTGTTTTGAAAACTCTTTGATCCCTTCAAACAGATTTTCTTTTTTTTAAGATTTTATTTATTTATTTGACAGAGAGATCACAAGCAGGCGGGGATGCAGGCAGAGAGAGTAAGCAGGCTCTACACTGAGCAGAGAGCCCCACATGGACGCTGGGATCATGACCTGAGCCGGAGGCAGAGGCTTAACCCACTGAGCCACCCAGGCGCCTCTCAAACAGATTTTTTAAAAAGAATTTTCTGCCTTTTGTCTCGTAGTCTAATTTTACTCTTATAATGAAAATTGTAGTTCTGGTGTTATATTCCAAGCCATAGTGAAAATCCTTATACATAAATGTTGGGAGTATTGTACTTTGAAGAGTCAGATTTATTGAGATTTATTGAGGTATATTTTACATACAGTGAAATTTAACCTTTTTAGGAGTTTGTAGTTCAGTGAGTTTGGCAAACAGTTGGGTAACCATGACAACAATTGACACATTGAATGTTTTATCACCCCAAAAGCTCCTTTGTGCTCCCTTGTAATCCGTCCCCTTGCCTTCCCATTAGCTCCTGGCAGTCACTGATCTGATCTGTCTCTCAACTCAGTGTTGTCTTCACTGAGTGTTGTATAAATAGAATCATACAGTATGTATAGCCTTTTGTGTCTTGCTTCTTTCATTTATAATGTTTTTGAGATTCACCCATGTTCCTACATTTACCAGTAGTTTGTTCCTTTTTATCGTGAGTAATATTCTGTGTATGGATATACCACAGTTTGTTAATCCCTTCACTAAATGATGGATATCTGGGTTGTTTCCAGTTTTTAGCTCTTAGGAATAAAGCACCATAAACATTCATATACTGGTCTTTGATGTTTTCATTTCTTTGGGTAAATACATAGATGAAGGGATTGCTGTGTCATATGGGAAATATATGTTAATTTCATAAGCAGCTACCAAACTCTTTCCCAATGTGGCTATACCATTTTGTATTTACACTTGGAAACATATGTGAGGTCCATTTATATTTTTCTTAGAATTTTAGGTGCTTTAAAAAATTTTTAGTGTAGGGGCGCCTGGGTGACTCAGTGGGTTAAAGCCTCTGCCTTTGGCTCAGGTCATGATCTCAGGGTCCTGGGATTGAGCCCCACATCAGGGCTCTCTGCTCGGCAGGGAGCCTGCTTCCCTTCCGGTCTCTCTGCCTGCCTCTCTGCCTACTTGTGATCTCTGTCTGTCAAAAAAATAAATAAAATCTTTAAAAAAAACTTTTTTTAGTATAGTTGAGATCTTGTTTTTCAATTTTAAATTAAGTACTTAGTGATATCTTGTGATTTTAATTCGTAGTTCCCTAACAACAAATGATGTTGAACATCTCTTCTTATACTTATTTGCCATTTGTCTCTCTTTGATAAAGTATACATTATCCAGTCTTTTGCCCACTGTTTTTTAATGATTTTATTTTTAAATCATTGTATTGTAAGAGTTCTTTATATATTCTGGTTACATGTCCTTTATTAGACATGTTGTTTTCGAGATATTTTCTTCTAGTCAGTCTGTGGCTTGTGTTTTCATTATCTAACTCTGTCTTTTGAAGAGCAGGAGCTTTTAATTTTAATGAAGTCTAGTTTATCAGTTATATCCTTTTAAGGTTTGTGATTTTTATGTTGTGAATTTCTGCCTAAGCCAAGATCATGAAGAATTTTGTCTGTTTTCTTCTATAAGTTATATAGTTTTAGGTTTTATATTTAGGTGTGTGATCCATTTCAAATTTTTTCTGTGTTGAAGTTTTTGTTTTTGTTTTGGATATGGATGGCCATCATTCTAGCATCTTTTTTTTTTTAGATTTTATTTATTTATTTGAGAGGGGGAGAGAGAGAGAGCAAGAGTGCAAGAGCAGCGGGGAGAGAGCAGATTCCTGGCTGAGCATGGAGCCCAACTTGGGGCCCAATCCCAGAACACTGGGATCCTGACCTGAGCTGAAGGCAGGTGCTTAATGACAAAGCCACCAAGGCATGCCTTGGCAATGATTTTAGCATTGTTTTTTTAAAAAGGCTATTCTTTCTTCAAGGAATTACCTTGTCATCTTTGTCAAAGTCAATCAGTGTTATATGTGTGGGTCTATTTCTGGATTTTCTCTTCTGTTCTACTGACCTATATGTCTGTCCTTTCGCCAGCAGTTTTGTACTTACAAGTCTTGTGAGAATTACTTAGGCATTTTCTACCATCATACTGATTTGTGAGATTCAACTGATGTAGCAAGTCAACGACCTCCTATCAAAGAATGTTAGGTAATTGAGTCATTATTAAGCATGTGACTTTATTTATTTATTTATTTATTTTTAGAACGAGTAGTGTGCGTGCATGTGTGCATCCACGTGCTCACACACGAGCAGAATGGGGAGAATCAGAGGGAGAGGGTAAGAGAGAATCTTAAGTAGGCTCCATGCTCAGTACACAACCCAGTGTGGGGCTCAATCTTATGACCCCAAGATCATGACTTGAGCTGAAATTAAGAGTCAGATGCTTACCCCACTGAGCCACCCAGGTGCCCCATGTAATCAGTCATTTAATTTGCCTACGGCAATGTACTAAAACTCCTTAAAACATTGGTTTGGATGTTGCCAGTAAGAACTGTCATACTCTGCTATTGGGAGTGGAAGTTGGTACAAGCACTCTCAAAAAGTAGTTTGTTCATTTCTAGTGAATGGAAATGAACTATGGCTTATTAACTCTACCTCTTAAACATATACCCTAGAGAATTTGGCACATGTACATAAGAGGACAGGTATAAGCATGTTCATTGCAGCATTATTTGAAATACTGAGAAACCGGAAACAATCTAAATATATTTTAATAGAAAAATAGTTGAATAAATTGTAGGATGATAAAGGGTACTACATGGAAGTGAAAGTGAATGAACTAGATCTCTATAAACCAACATAGATCTCAAAAGCAATATAAAATTTTAAATGAAACTATGCAAATAAAATAGGAACAATAGAAAAACAGGTACTAGAAAGATATTCACTGAATGTATTATAGTGTCTTCTAGAAAGGAGAGGAGCATTGGAATGGGAAGAAGCACAAAAAAGGAACTTTTGTATTTGTTAGATTGTAATTTATTTAAAAGAAAAAAGTTTTGAAGAGTTTATTTGAGAGGGCATGCACAAGCAGAGGGAGCTGGAGAGGGAGGAGAAGTAGACCGCTCCCCCCAAGCAAGGAGCCCAATGCAGGGCTCGATCTCAGGACCCAGGATCATGACCTGAGCTGAAGGCAGATGCTTGTTTGCTTGCTTGCTTGCTTGCTTTCTTTCTTTCTTTCTTTCTTTCTTTAATTTTAATTTTATTTTTTCAGGGTTCCAAGATTCATTGTTTATGCACCACACCCAGTGCTCCATGCAATACACGCCCTCCTTAATACCCACCACCAGGCTCACCCATCTCCCCACCCCTTTCCCCTCCAAAACCTTCAGTTTGTTTCTCAGAGTCTGCAGTCTCTCATGGTTCATCTTCCCCTCCAATTTACCCCAATTCACTTTTCCTTTCCGTCCCCTAATGTCCTCTGTGGTACTCCTCATGCTCCACAAGTAAGTGAAACCATATGATAATTGACTTTCTCTACTTAACTTATTTCACTCAGCATAATCTCCTCCAATCCCATCCATGCTGATACAAAAGTTGGCTATTCATCCTTTCTGATGGTTGTGTAATATTCCATTGTATATATAGATGAAGGCAGATGCTTAATGAACTGAGTGACGCAGTTGTCTCAAAAAAAAAAAAAAAGGAGAGAGCTATCTTACACACATTTTGATTTGCTGTATTTTTAGATCCTTTTTAAGTTGTAAACCATTCATTTGTTTCAAAGAAAATGGATGTGTTACTAAATGTTACTCTAAATGCCACATTCGTAATCTCATATATTGGTTCTTATAATGCAATCATTTGTTAAATAAAAACTCACTCCCGAAAGAAGGCACCAAACAATGAACAAATTACATCAGATTTCAGTACAATCGGGTTAAACAGTGTTTTTTCTCATTATTGAAATCACGTTTGTATATTCTAATAGTATGTATTTTAAAGACCATTTATTTAAAATAAATTCTCCCTAATTAAAATTTCTTTCCATAGTACAGTATTTCAATGGTTATAAGCATCAGTGCCATGAGATGGCAAAATAAAGGATTAACAGCCCTAAAGTTCTGAGATTAATAGCCCTAAAGCCCTGTAGACACTGAAGTCTATATCCTCTCAGAAATTCACACGTACATTAGAATGCCAGAGGTACTAAGAAGTCGTATAGTGGTGTTTCTCAGATTTATTAGCTCACAACCCACTTTTTCATGTATCAATAACAGTAAGATCTGGGAAATGTTTAGTATATTCTAATATATAATGTCTAGTATATATACAAATAATTATTTCTATTTTAAAGCAGGACAAAAGGAGCAAGCTGTGGAATGGTATAAGAAAGGTATTGAAGAACTAGAGAAAGGAATAGCTGTCATAGTTACAGGACAAGGTAAGATTATATTTACATTTGTTTTGTAGCCATCCCGAATTATATTCACATGATTGCCCTAATTTCAGATACACCTATCTTACTAAAAGTATTTGAAATGAAAAGATTTTGAAATGTTATTATTGACATTTATAGATTTACAGTTAATGCTTTATTACCTGTGCTAAATTACCAGCTATGCTTAAACTTGATTACCAGGTAGCAGTTAGATAAAAACCAATATATTACTTCTGTCGTCCTTGAACCCACTGTTGGTGATGTTTTAGCCTCATTTTTAGCTCTGTTTTGAAACCTGGTACTTCCCTCATTGTTGAGGAAGGGAAGGAGTGTTTAATCACACTCCCTTTTGTGCTTGTGGGTAATGCTTGACTGCATGTTATAATATGAGCTATAAATGTCTTGCTTTGATTCACCTTGGCTTTTTAAAGTCAAATAGGTTGTCATCTTTGCTTTCTTATCACCTAAAATTAAAAATTAGAGTCTAATAATATTTTTAAATATATAGGTAACATTTATTGCACACTGTGCTATGTGCCCAAGCATCATTGTCTGGGCTTCATGTGTGTTATCTTTTTTAATCTTCACCACAACCCCACACTCTGAGACTGCTGCTGTTACCCTTACTTTTCACATAAATAACCTTAAGTACAAAGAAATGCGGTAACTTGCCTACGGTCTCATAGCTAGTAAGTGGTAGGTCGAGTCAGGATTTGAGCCCAAGCAATCTGACTTCAGAGCCTGAATTTTTAAATATGATGCTGTGACTATTATGTAGTATGTGGGTACCACTATTAAAGTATTTCACTTTATCACAACTAAAATAGATTCAGAAGAAAAAGTTGTATAGACTGAGAATCTTACCACTATGGATCGGTCCACTCAGTGGATGTTTGTTGTCTGGTTGGCTGACTCTACTACTTGCATCTGCTAATCTCCAATAATTACTATGTATCTAATATTTGGCCAGGTTTTTTTTTTCTCTCCCCTTTTTATTTGGAGTACTTCTCTATACTGATGTCCTGCACAAAAGAGAGCAAAATAGAACAATGTGGGAGGTTAGGCCTTGGGGACTTTTCATTAGTTTTTCAGTATGACTTTTTTTAAGTATTATGTATACAATGTATTTGTTGCTCTTTGTCAATTGCATGGAGGCAGAGCTAGAAGAAAATGAGTTAATAAGAAAAATAGTATCTCATTGAATGGAGTATGCCTCTAATTGTACCCCTAAGAGAAAAAACAGTGTCAGTTGAACTATGACAGTATTCTCTTCTTACCATTTGGAATTTGACTTTTACTTTATTGTATGTAATGTCTTTATCCTATTTAGACATAGCTGTAATAGCAATATTAACGTCAAGGACCAAATTTGTTTTTGCACAGGCTGTGACATACTGTGGTATGAGTGCACCCTGGCCGATAGCTTTAGTAAGTTGTACTGGTTATAAAACACATCTCGTGGGGCACCTGAGTGTCTCAATTGGTTAAGTGTCGGACTATTGATTTTGGCTCAGGTCATGATCTCGGGGCTGTGCGGTCAAGCCCTGCCTCAGCCTCTGCTGTGGGAGTGGATCTGCTTAAGATTCTCCCTCTCCCTCTACCCCCACACATCTCACTCTCTGAAACACACACACACACACCCCTCAACTTCAGAGATTTATTTATTTTTTATTTTTATTTTTTTTTAAAGATTTTGTTTATTTATTTGACAGAGATCACAAGTAGGCAGAGAAGCAGGCAGAGAGAGAGGGGGAAGCAGGCTATCTGCCGAGCAGAGATCCCCATTCGGGGCTCCATCCCAGGACTCTGAGATCATGACCTGAGCCAAAGGCAGAGGCTTTAACCCACTGAGCCACCCAGGCGCCCCCAGAGATTTATTTTTAATGTAGAGAGGAAAAATACACCTCAAAATCCATGAAATCATATGTGAAACCCATGAAATACCATAGTAGATCTGAAACCATCATAAGGAACTATAACTAATTTTTTAAACTTTATAAAGACTGTGACTCCCAGAGCACCTGGATGGCTCAGTTGCTTAAGCATCCGATTCTTGATTTCAGCTCAGATCATGATCTCAGGGTTGTGAAATCAAACCCCACGTTGGCTTTGTACTCAGCGGGAATCTGCTTTTCTCCCTCCCTTTGCCCCTCTACTCTCTCTCTCAAATAAATAAATGAATTTAAAAAAAAAACTGACTCCCTGTGAGATTAGTTGGGGTAATATTTTACCTTGAAGTAATATTAGTAGGGAAACAGAGGTGTTAATTTTTTTCCTCTTTGTTCTTTCAGGTGAACAGTGTGAAAGAGCTAGACGCCTTCAAGCTAAAATGATGACTAATTTGGTTATGGCCAAGGACCGTTTACAACTTCTAGGTATCAATTAATGAATTGTATAACTGGAATAAGATGTTTTTGAAATGTGTGTTCAGTGAAACTTTAAATGTAGTTGGAAATAGATCAGTAATCTTGAAAATGTGTTCTGTGTTTTTTTCCTAGCTTACAGAAAATTCTAACATCTACAAAAGAGAGTATAATGGATTAATTATCCATCACTCAGCTCTAACAATTATCAACTCATAGTCAGTCTTGATTTATCTGTACTCAAGGGCTGGCAAATTACAGCCCATGGACTAAACCCAGTTCACTGCCTATTTTTATAAGATGGCACACAGCTAGCTACCCATTCCTCTATTATTGTTTGGATGCTTTCATGCTACAGTAACTGCAGAGTTGAGCAGTTGATACAGAGATCATACAGCCTTCAGAGCCTTTTAATATATAACTTTTAAAAATATTATAATATTTACTATCTGGCTTTTTACAGAAAGAGTTTGCCAGCTCCAATAAATCCCTACCCACTCACCCCCACTCCATATTATATTGAAACAATTCTTGACATCTTTTTATTTCATTTATAACTATTTCATATTGTATCTCTAAAAGCTAAAGATGCTTAAAAAATAAAATTACCGGGACACCTAGGTGACTCAGTCAATTAAGTGCCTGCCTTCAGCTTAGGTCATAGATCTCAGGGTCCTGGGATCGAGTCCCACATCATGCTTCTTGCTCAGTGCAGAGCCTGCTTCTCCCTCTGCCTGAGGGAGTGCCTGTGCACTCTCTCTCTCTTTCTGACAAATAAAATCTTAAAAATAAAAATAAAAAATAAAATTACCAAAATGCCATTATCACATCTAAAGTATAACCAATAATTTCTTTTAATAGTAATAAAAAATTATGGCCAAAGAAATGATCAGTGTCCAAATACAGTTTACATATAATGTGTAATATATGTATTATAATGTATAGTTAATATCTCAAAATTTAATAATTCTTACTATTTTTCTAATAATTTTTTGCACCAGAATCTCAAGAAGATTCATATGTTTCTTTTAATATACAAGTTCATCTGTTTTTTTCTCGTAATTTATTTGTTGATGCACCAGATCTTTGACACATCATAGTTTCCTGCAGTCTGTCTTTTGCTCTATGCCTCTCCATGATATCTTTTTTTTTTTAAGATTTTATTTATTTGAGACAGAGAGATAAAGAGAAAAAACATGAGCAGGGAGGGAGAGAAGCAGACTCCCCCCTGAGTTGGGAGCCTGATATGGGGCTCGATCCTAAGACCTGGAGATTATGACCTGAGCTGAAGGCAGACATTCCACCATCTGAGCCACCCAGGTGCCCCTCCATGATATCTTAATATGTTCTTCTGTCCTCCCTATAAATTGATAGTTGAATATAGACCCTTGATTGGATTAAAAGTTGATTTTTATTTTTTAATAATAAGACTACTTCATAGGTGGTTGTGTTTATTTGTCAGTAGTTCTGACATCTTGTGATGTTAGTAGCAGTTGATGACTGATGCCTAGTGACATACATAATTCTATCATTCTTTCTGTATTTATCAGCTGAAATAGGTCTATAAAGAGAAGCTTTTCATCTTCTATTTGAATGCTTAAGTTTTAAAAATATTTCCTAAGATAAATCTACTTCTAAGACAAAGTGGAATTAAAACCCACCCCTCTTGGATGATTCTCTGCTGTAACTTGATGTGATAGAAAAGATATTGGTAAATAGGCAGACCTTATATATTTATTGCTCTGTGATTTGTGGTAAGTTATTTAGTATGTTTGAACCTTTTTCTTCTCATTTATGATATGCTAATAGATAATATTTATTTCATCATATGTGACCATTAAATTATTAAAGGAACCTAATCATAGTAACTACCCCAAATGCTGGGTTTTATTCCCCTCCTTATCTTGCTTTTGTGGAAAAATGTATTTATACACTCATACATAAATATCATGTATTTATATACTCATTCATTCATTCATTTTTATATGATCCATTGTGTTTTATAAGTTTTTTGCCCCACACTGGTGAAAAGAAATTCTTGAATGTTTTTAGGTGGCTGGCAAGGCAGTGTTCCCCTGGCTTCTGTGGCTGACAATGTTTCCCTTCTTACACATGAAGATTATTATCATATCACAAAATTAAATATTATATCAGAGGTTATTATAGTAAAATAATTGTTCTACTTCGTACTTTCTGTGTGTTTTAGCTATAATGTCTTTCACTATATGTACATATATATGATGCGGGTTAAGATTGGTTATGGAACATTTTGTAGCATGTTTCAAATTGAATATTAGTAGCTAGTTGTTATCTTTTGAAGATGTGATACGATAAATTGTTGGAAGCATCTCATTAATTATGGACTTGTCTTTAAATGCAACTTTGTCATTTTTTAATCTGTGTTATTAAAGGAGAGGACAAAAAGAACTAATGGGGCAGGGAGTGTTCAATATAAGGCACAGGGCCTTATCGGCCTCCATGAAGATTTGAGCTTTTACCATCTGTGAAATGGGGAGCATTTATAAGGATTTTTAGGAAAGGAATGATGTAATCTGACTTACGTTGTTTTGTTTTTTAAAACAGATTTATTTGTTTTAGAGAGAGAGCACGAGCAAGGGGAGGGGCAAAGGGAAAGGGAGAGAAGCAGACTCCTGACTGATCATAGAGCCCCTTATGGGCCTCAGTCCCATGACCCTCAAAATCATAACCTGAGCCAAAATCAAGAGTTGGCCACCCAGCTGACTGAGGCACCCAGGCGCTCCCTGACTTAAATTTTAAAAAGATCACGTTGCCAATGGACTCCCAAGAGTAGAGCCAGAAGAGTAAATAGGACCACTGCTGAATTACAATAAGCTAGGAGAAAAATGATGGGAGGCTTGGACCAGGGTGATAGGAAGAGAACTTGTAACAAGTGGTTGGATTATGATTATATTTGAAGGTTGAACAAACAGATTTATGGATAGACTGGATATAATGTTGCTCTCTTAAGGGGCTCGTGATATATTGTGGGAGGTAGACACATGAATAGATAAATCTTCTTCATTGAAGAGGAGATGTAATATTTTTAGGGAGGGTCATAAGGAAGTTCTATGTTTAATTTCTTGAGGAATCTCCACACTGTTCTCCAAAGAGGCTGCACCAACTTGCATTCCCACCAACAGTGTAAGAGGGTTCCCCTTTCTCCACATCCCCTCCAACACATGTTGTTTCCTGTCTTGCTAATTTTGGCCATTCTAAATGGTGTAAGGTGGTATCTCAATGTGGTTTTAATTTGAATCTCCCTGATGGGAGATACACAAATATTTTGTAGGATGATAAAATAGGTGTCTGGAAAGTATTCCTGAAAGAAGTGAAACCTAAATGGGAGATTAAAAAAGGTGAAACTTTAAAGAATGTTTGGGAGAAAAGACATTTCAAGAAGAAGCTATAGCATGAACAAAAACTCAGGGTAAGAAATGGCATGGCAGGTAAGGAAAGGTGCTGGTGCAGAAGTGAATTTGGGATTGCTTAGTATGTATAAGAGATGTAGGCAGATCATGGAGGGCCTTAATGTTATATAAAGAGGCTTAAACATTCATCTGTGGCCAATGGGAAGCTACTAAAAGCCTTTTTTTTTTTTAAAGATTTTATTTATTTATTTGACAGACAGAGATCACAAGTAGGCAGAGAGGCAGACAGAGAGAGAGGGGGAAGCAGGCTCCCCGCTGAGCAGAGAGCCTGATTCGGGGCTCGATCCCAGGACCCTGGGATCATGACCAGAGCCAAAGGCAGAGGCTTTAACCCACTGAGCCACCCAGGTGCCCCTACTAAAGAGTTTTAAATGGAAGAGTTATATGGTAAGATTTTGCTTTTAAGTAGATGATTCAGATGGTTGTGTGGGATTACATGTGAAAGGATCAAGAAGCAAGGTGGTGGTTTTATTTTAAATCATTAATTAATCTGCAAACCTTTAGTGATTGCAAAAGGAAGCATTAAACTAACTTTATTTTCTTTAACAAAAATGAGTTGGAGCAGGCTCATCTTAGCAGTATAACTACGAATGTGTTATATATGTGTTTCCACACATACAAATCTAAATCCTATACACCAAAACAACTTCTGTGGCTTTTTATTCTCAGTTATTAGTTATCAAAAACAAGGATTTAGTTTGTTTATTTTCATTATGTAATGAATCTTCACATGATCTTTTTCTGACATTTCATTGAAGAGAGCGTTAATTAATAAAGAAGACATTTATAAATCAGGGTTTTTTTTTTTTTCTAATTTATGTCTATTACCAATACAAATGGTTTCTTTCTCAGTATGGTGAAGAGTATTATCATTGAGAAAAATCAGATGACCTATCTGTTAACGAACAACAACAAAAAAAAGCTCCAAGGTATATTGTATCAGCCAGTTTAAGGCTACAAAAGCTGTTCAGTACTTTGTGCTTTGTGCAAAGAGGTTAGCAGCTATTTAACCTGTCCCAAAGGTATATGTGGTTGTACCATCAACCAAGCATGGCGCCTGCCTGTCTGACCTTAGAAATGAAAGTTTAGGAGAGTTAGTATATATGTCCTACATATTTGCATGTATTCATTGACTTCCCAGTACCGAAGAAAAGAATCAGTATGAAAATCTGGAGTACTGTAACAAAATAAATATGGTAAACATTGGGCCCCTATTATGAATAGGGGCACAGAACAGGTACTCTTTGTATATTATTTTATTTAATCCTTGAGATTCTTAGAAAACTGAGGTTCAAGTTAAGTTCATACTAGTAAGTGGTAGAGCAGGGTGTTTGCCACGTAGCAGTAGGGACGACTTGAATGGGAAGAGAGTGTAGCAGCGATGTACAGGGGCAAGACAGTTGAAACTGCTGCCCTCTCGGACTTCAGGCATAGACAAAGAGACCTGGATCTTGAGAGGATTTGTTATTTAAAGTGAGGGTAGAGTTGAAATAATCCTCTTAAATCTTTGATTAATCTTAGAAACAGGGAATAAAAGGACACGCTACAACATTATTAAAGTTTAAATATGAAAAATATCCATCTCGTACTATGTCCTCGCCACCCATTTCCCCTCCCCAGAGGCAGCTGCTATTATGTTTCTCTGGATCCTTTTTAGGGATAACCTTTATGTATGCAAGTGTGCACATGGGTGCATTTAAGTAAATGCTACTGTTCTGAAGCATGCTAATTCCCCTTTGCTCTGTAGCCTTTATTTTTTGCCTCACATCATTAACATGTAGCTGAATATTTCTTAGTATTTCTTAGACATTCCTTATAGTTTTTTTTTAACTGTGTCATTTTTTAAGTGTTGTTTTCCTTTCCTCAAGTGTCCTTTCTTTTTATCTTTTCAAATCCTAGCCAATTCACAGCCCACTTTTTCTATAAAGCCTTTTTAACTTTCTTTTGTGCTGTACAATCTTTTTTTAAAAATATATTTGTGTTGTTAAGTGGCCAACCATATTTAATAAGCATCTGGATGATAAAAACCATATTTACTTTTTTGTCTTCATGCTGTTCTCCCTACATAATGATGTGGATATGTTAGACATTCAGAAAATATTTGCTGGTGATAGTAGTGATATGAAATTGCCTCAGGTTACCAAACCTGAATAAAGCATATTTTGAACATAGCCAATCAGTGAATTTCTGTTGCTATTTTAACGTCTGAGTTTTACTAACTATATTTTTAAGAAAATTTTATGTAAATACCAAAACCCTTCATCTTCTAACACCTTGAATTATTTTTTGTTTTCACATAGACATCTTATTTTTTCATTATGTATTTTTTCTTTTTGTTTATTTTGTTCTTTCTACCCCCCTCTGTTGCATAGAGAAGCTGCAACCAGTTTTGCAATTTTCCAAGTCACAAACGGATGTCTATAATGACAGTACTAACTTGACATGCCGCAACGGACATCTCCAGTCAGGTGGGTTTAGGTTAACTAACATGTAAAATAATAAAGCTTGCATGCGGAGTAGAGTCCTGCATAACCTGATAATGTTGATTTGACTTTATAATGGTGGATTTGGTTGGTTTTGTTTTCACAAGGCTAGGTGGAAAATACAGTGTCCCTGTGATTCATGGTGTATAAATATATAACAGATATAACCGTTCTCAAAATGCTTTATTTGCTTATTTTGCAACCTCCCATTTTTGGGATTATAAAATATAAAGGTTCATTTTTCTAAATTATTAACATCTTCTTTGGTTTCTATTGTATTTTCACCATTTGTTACTTTTTTCATGCATACCTATACCAAGTTTTTATGAAGTAGTGTTTTTTAAGGCAGAAATTTCTTTCTTTTTTTAAAGATTTTATTTCTTTGATGGAGAGAGAGGAAGAAAATGAGCAGGGAGAGCAGCAGGCAGATAGAGAGGGAGAAGCAGGCTCCCTGCTCAGGAGGGAGCCCAATGTGGGGCTTCATCCGAGGACCCTGGGATCATGAGCTGAGCCGAAGGCATTCACTTAACCAGCTGAGCCACCCAGATGCCCCAATGCAGAAATTTTAATTCCTCTTTGTTATGTATCAATTTTAATTGCACAGCAATTTCCATGTATACCACACATGATTGCTTTACCATAGCACCTGTTAGGAAAAAAAAGTTTTTTTTTTTTAGATTTTTATTTATTTGAGAGAGAGAGAGAGAGAGAGAGAGAAGATGAGCAGGGGGAAAGGGAGAGGGAAAAGCAGACTCCCTGTTGAGCAGGGAGCTCGATCCTGGGACTCTGGGATCATGCCTTGAGCCAAAAGCAGACACCCAACCAACTGAGCCACCCAGGCGCCCCCTGTTAGGGAAAATTTGAAGCTGAGTTCACATAGTGAGGAGAAACATTAGAATACTACTTTAGTATATGTGCTGCTTGAAGGGAGCACACATTAGAATGCTATTAATTTACTGTGGGTTAAATTTGTTTTCCATGAACTTTTGGGTATCAACTCTTACAGAGAAGATCACATGCTTTTCTGTTTTGCTTAGGTGCAGGGAGGAATCTTCATTTCCTAAGTTCTCTGACATCTTGGCTAGTTTTATTGATGATTTTTTCAATCTTCATTTCACATTCAGGGCTTAAATTTTATTAAAGTAAATATTGCTTTGTTCAATTTGTAACATAAAAACCTTAGTTTAGACTATAAGACACCTGCCTTTATTCATGTGTAATATAAAACTTTCAAGACTTCAATAGAGAAGAATTATGGTAAGTGGATTTCTATGGACTGGAGACAATACGTCATCAAATCTTTCCCTTCTGGTTTTACCTCTTAGGAAGTTCTTTGGTTTGTTGTTCAAGTACAGAGCCCCATGTCATTGAGTATATTTCTTTTCTTAATCCTTCCTGTCCATGATTTAAAACACCATTTCTATAAATGAAACAAGATGGGATCGGGAGGGAGACAAACCATAATAGACTCTTAATCTCACAAAACAAACTGAGGGGGGCCGGGGGGAGGTGGGTAGGGAGAGGGTGGTGGGGTTATGGACATTGGGGAGGGTATGTCCTATGGTGAGTGCTGTGAAGTGTGTAAACCTGGCGATTCACAGACCTGTACCCCTGTAGCCCTGGGGCTAATAATACATTATATGTTTATAAAAAATTAACACCATTTCTAGTATAGAAATAAATATTTTTGCCTGTATCTCTTAGCATAGATATGAAGAGCTGATACTTGCCTAAGGAACTTTTTAAAAATGTAATAATGCACCACATGTAAATAATTAAGTTTCCAAGATATAAATTTGAGATCCTAATAATCCTGCCAAGGTAAATAGCAAAAATTTCTTAGCCCTGAGGAGCTGGTATGCCTTTGCTTTGTTATCTTGCTTATCTTCCACTTCATTCCACATATGAGATCCCATGGTTTTGTTTTGCCCTTCAAAACTTTCTCTTCCTGGGACCTATGTTAAAAAAAATCAACCTATTTTATTTTATTTTTTTGTATAACCTCCCCTCTATTCCTGTATATTTCTTCCCCCCCTCCCCCATTATGTTAACCTATCTTATTTTAAATCTCTAGTAACCATCTGTTCTATTCTGTTTTCTTGTTGGGGGGCAGCATACTGAACGGCACAGCTAATTTTTGCAATACTGGTTGTTGATACCCATTGAGCCCTAGTCAGTGAGCTGGCTTAAATGTCACCCACTTCTGGACCAGTCTGTGATATTTCACTGGATGAGTTACTTCATCTCTCCTAGGAAATCGTTACGCCGAAGTCCACTTACTACTTTAGTGGTATCTACAGTGTCCAGTTTTCAACTCAAAATTACTAGATATGTAAAGAATTAAGAAAGTGTGACCATTGTTCGAGAAAAGAATTAGTCCCTAGAAGTTCACCCTTGCCTGGGCCCAGATGTTGATGTAGCAAAGACTTCAAAACAACTATTATAAATACGTTCAAAGAATTAAAAGAAAATAGGGCATCAGTTAACAAACCTGCAATTTTAGCACATAACGTAAACTACACAATAAAAAGAATGGAAATTCTAAAGTTAAAAAGTACAATTGTTGAAATAAAAACATTTACTAGATAACCTCAACAGCAGATTGGAGATGTCAAATGGAAGCTTCAGCGACCTTGAGCTTGATCAATAGAAATTGCAGTAAGGGATGGAGTGCAAATGAGTACAAGAAAACTTTTGGCTATGATGGAATCATTTCATATCTGGATGTTAGTGGCTATTTCATCTTTAAATTCATCTTTATAAACTCATCAAATTGACCTTTTTAAATGGATACATTTTATTATTCGTGGATTATACCTTAAAGAGTTGACCAAAAAAAAAAATACTGAGAGGCTTGTAAAGAAAAATAGTATTCCTCTTCCCATCTCTTCCTTCTCTTCCTGCTTTCATCCCTAGGCTGGCTCCTCGCACCATGTCTAACTCTTCTTGCTATTTTTTCTTTTGTTTCCTACTGTGTTTCCAGATATTATGCTTATATTGCTATTACTGATTGAATAGTTTTTGATATGTATTGACTTCTTATTTAACTGAAAAAAGGTTTAATTCTTATGCCAACATTAGCCTTCATCTCCTGATACATAAATATCACTATTTTTAGTTATGCTGAAAAATCAAATTTAACATTATAATGACTTAGCATTATTTACCCAGAGCCAAATAGTATATTCTAATTAACTTTTTTTTTTTAGTTTTTCCTTCCCACAGATTCCTTCTTTCTTTCTGTTTGCTTTTTAACCAAAAGACCTTCTTTAGTAGTTCTTTCAATGAAAGTTTGTAGATGGCAAACTTTCTTAGTCTTTCTAATGTCTGAAATACCATCATTCTTATGTGACAGGTTACCAGGATATAAAATTGATAAAGGTTGACACTTTTTCTTCCTACAGCATTTTGAACATACTCCATTGCCTACTGACTTTTGTTATTTTTAATGAAAAGTCTCCTATCATTCTCAGTTCACATGGAAATTCCTGTTCACTTATAGTCTCAGGACTGTATGTTTACTATCTGAAGAAATTCTTTTCCACTTTCCTTTTTTTCCTCTGAAATGAATGATCTTTATCTTCAGCCTAGATAGATTTTGCTCTTTTTCTTGTCTTTGCTTTTGCTTATTGTTAGTCCCTTTTCTGGATTGCTTTCTTGCTTTGTCCTTTAGCGTTGCCATCCACTAGTTCCTTGAACATATGGTTCAGAACTTTACGTTTATTTTGGGGGGAAAAGTCTTGATCATCTTGCTCTGCTCTGAAGTTCTCTTCCTTTGAGTTTCCTTAAAACACCTTAAGGGATTTGATGATGAACACAAAAATAAAGTTTTTGTCTTTTCTCTAGGCTATTCTAATTTGCTTATTCATTTAACATTTGTTTTTACTGTAAATACTTATTAGTAGACTTATGTTTATTATGGAGTATATACAAATATTCGAAGCAGTGGTATTTTTGAACATTTGAAAGCCTATAATTTATGTAGAAGTACAATATAGGTAGGTCAACTTTTAGGATTAATTGATGATGTTTCATTTGTGTTTATATATATATACAGCACATAGAATACTTGGCATATTACAACCCACATCTTTATACCATTTAAATTAAAAATTGATTGTTTCTAGAAACTCTTTTGATGGACATAGACTGTGGAATTTCATACTATTTTACAGTTTTAAAAGTTTGGAACCAAGGTAATGCAGTGCTTTCCCCCCAACTCTGTAACAATATAACTCTAATGCCTTGACTGCATTTTGTTTCTTGAATATTTGGCGACTTCATTTGGGAATCTTTTTATATCCTCCTCCTGTCCCCACAAATAAAAGTGTTTCTTCTTATTACAAATACATATTCCTTATAAGAAAATTAGAATATACATCAGGAAAAGGAAAAGTGAAATGAAAATTAAATAACCATAATCTTGTCCACCAGGTGATAATCCCAATGAACATCATACTTGAAATCTTATTTTGAAATATTGCTAATGTAAAAAAAATAGTATTAGCTTAGTTTTACAAATTTGTATCCATCTTTATTTTATAACGTTTAACCACAGTTTTCTAACCATCATGATTTTACTTTTTCCTTGATAGAAAGTGGAGCTGTTCCAAAAAGAAAAGATCCCTTAACACACACTAGTAATTCACTTCCTCGTTCGAAAACTGTTATGAAGACTGGATCCACAGGTCTGTCAGGCCACCACAGAGCACCTAGTTGTAGTGGCTTATCCATGGTTTCTGGAGTGAGACAGGGACCTGGTCCTGCGGCTGGAACTCATAAGGTATTTGAAGGCCGTAACGTTAATTGCTGCGCTTCTACAAATAGAAGATTTTGAACATGCTATGCTTGCTGAAGACTATTACAAGTACTTTATAATATCTTGGAGAGCTGATACGTTTCTACAAAATTGACTGTAGTTTTCTTTTTTTTAAATCTACAAGGACAACTTGATATTAAAAAGCAAATCTTATTTTAACTTCCTTTGGACCTAATTAGGTATTTTGTAGTAAGTTGCTCATCTAGTCTATTTTATATAATACGTATAATTTAAAATTTGTTATTCTCTTAATTATTTAAATTTGTGTAAAAGTTTTATAACATTAAACATAGTTTTGTTACAATTCTAGCAATCAAAATTATATGACTGAATTGTCATAGGGCCTTTTTGTTTTATGGTACCTAAATCTCTATGGATGTAAACACACTCTGTAAACACACTTCATGCCAAATGTAGTTTTGTAGTGAATACCATTTTACCCTGAAGGGAATACACAGTTTTGGGTTTTTTTATATCCTTTTTTCTATTTTTAAACTTTTAATTCTGTGAACTTGAAGAGTAATTCACTTATGAAGAGTGCTAATATTTGGTCATATTTTTACATTACAATTTTGTGTCCTTTAAGAGTACACCAAAAACAAATAGAACAAATAAACCTTCTACCCCTACAACTGCTGCTCGTAAAAAGAAAGACTTGAAGAACTTTAGGAATGTGGACAGCAACCTTGCTAATCTTATAATGAACGAAATTGTGGACAAGTAAGTTTTGCCATCTAAAGTGTTTTATTTAATAGTTTTTAGTTTTGAATTTATTTATATAATATATCATGGATAAAATACATAATACTTTATTTAATGTACATGTTTAATTTTATGATGGTTTTCAGTTATTATAAATGTAAAAAGCCATTGTTTTATTGATTTAATTATAATTTCACAGTTAATATAAAAATAATTTTATTTCATAGAGTTTAGACTTCATATTATAATAACTGAAGGATATTTTGCTGTGAAGCTAACTGAAATTCTGTTTCTTAGTGGAACAGCTGTTAAATTTGATGATATAGCTGGGCAAGAGTTGGCTAAACAAGCCTTGCAAGAAATTGTTATTCTTCCTTCTCTGAGGCCTGAGGTAAGCGCTCATAGTATCATTTTCCTATAACATCATTCACTACTGAATCCATAGATTCAGTAGCAAAGAAATGTGTGAGCTGTGCTAGAATGATTAATTCATGAAACAGATTTGATGTTTTTTTTTTTAATTTTTTTAAAAGATTTTATTTATTTATTTGACAGAGATCACAAGTAGGCAGAGAGGCAGGCAGAGAGAGAGAGAGGAGGAAACAGGCTCTCCGCCGAGCAGAGAGCCTGATGCGGGGCTCGATCCCAGGACCCTGGGATCATGACCTGAGCCGAAGGCAGAGGCTTAACCCACTGAGCCACCCAGGCACCCCAGATTTGATGTTTTTAAAAGAAAAAAACATTAGCAGTTGATGTTATTGTAGGAGAGAAGAATGACTATACTGTAGTCATTGAATGATTATTATATATATATGATAATATATAATAAATGTGTTATATATAATACAATATAATATATAATATAATAATGTAATTATATATATATAACCAAGAATGGTTATTGTAGGAGAGAAGAATGTCTATAAAGATTCCTAATAACCAATCCATTTTTAACATTTGGAGGGAGAAGTAGGTAACATAAAATAATTTACATCAAGGTAAGAGGGATTTAAAATTAAGAGACAGAAATCATACTGGAGAAAAGGGAAGATAAAATTATTACGTTTAAGGACCTTTTTTTCTTATCATATTTGAAATACAGTGTTACATGAGTTTCAGATGTACAACATAGTGATTTGACAATTCTGTACAGTGAGCTCTGCTCACTATGATAAGTATAATTACCATCTGTCACCACACAATGTTATTGCAGTATTATTAACTATAGTTCCCATGCTGTACTTTTCATCCCCATGACTTATTTGTAACTGGAAGCTTGTACCTCTTAATTCCCTTCACCTATTCCCCAACCCCTTCATCTCTAGAAACCACCAGTTTGCTCTGTTGTTATGATTATGTTTCTGTTTGTTTGTTTGCATCATAACAAGAACAACAAAATTAATGTGAGGTGAAGGATATGTTAAGCCTATTGTGGTGAATATTTTTCAGTTTATGTATGTATCAAATCCTACTGTACACATTAAAATGACACAATCTTATGTCAGTTATATCTCAAAACTGGAAAATTTTTAAAACCAAAAACTGGTACAGTAATCAAGAAAATGTGTCTTTGCCGAAAGAATAGACAAATAGATCAATAGAACAGAATAGAGAGCCCAGAAGTACAGAGATACAAATGCTATCATTTGACAAAGGAACAAAAGCAATTTGATGTAGAAAAGATAGTGTTTTCCACAAATGGTGCTGGAACAACTAGACATCTATGTGCAAAAAAATTCCAGACATGTACTTTACACCTTTCACAAAAGTTAATTCAAAATTGGTCACAGACGTAAATGTAAAAAGGCTAACTATAAAACTCCTGCAATATAAAATAGGAGAAAATCTCGGTGATCTTTGGTGTGAGGATGGCTTATTAGATACAACACCAAAAACATGATCCTTGAAAGAAAAAATTGTTAAGTTAATGTTTATGAAAATTAAAAATTTTTCTTTGAAAGACAGTAAGAGCATGAGAAGACAAGCCACAAACAAGGGGGAAATCTTTGCAAAACATTAACATTTGATAAAGGACTGGTATCAAAAAATATACAAAGAACTTTCAAAAAACTGAGCAATAAGAAAAAAAATGACCCAATTAAAATGTGGGCAAATATCTGAATAGATGCCTTACTAAAGAAGATACACAGATGACAAGCATTTGAAAAAAATGATGCTCAACATCATTCATCATTAGGGAACTGCAAGTTAAACAGCAGTAAGATTTTACCGCAAACTTACCAAAATGGCTAAAATCCAGAACACTCTCAGCACCAAATAATGGTGAGGATGTGGAGCCATGGGACTCTGACTCATTGCTGAGGGAAAAGCAAAATGCTACAGCTGCTTTAAAAGACAGTTTGACACTTTCTGAACATACTCTTACCATGCTACACAGCAATTATGTTCTTTAATATTTACCAAAATGAGTAAAAAATGTATCCCCATATAAAAAATCCTACACACAGATGTTTATAGCAACTTTATTTGTAATTTCCCAAACTCGGAAACCACTGAGATACTCTTCAATAGATAAATGGGTAAACTTGGTATATCTATATGTTGAAATACTATTCAGCACTGAAAAGAAATGAGCTATCAAGCTTTAGAGATGTACAGAGGAACTTTAAATTCATGTTGTTAAAGAAACCAATCGGCAACAGCTAATAACTCTATGATCCCAACTATATGACATTCTGGAATGGCAAAACTCTGGAGAAAATAAAAAGATCAGTGGTTCCCCCATGGGGAAGACAGAAGGATGAACAGGTGGAGCACAGGGAATTCTTCAGGGCAGTGAAACTATTCTGTATGATTCTGGAATGATGGAGACATGACACGAATTGTAAACCCTAATGAAAACTATGGACTTCAGTTAATAATATCAATGTTAGTTTATCAGTTATAATAAATGTACCATTACACTAAGGTAAGATGTTAGTATTAGAGGAAATTGAGGATGTAAGGAGTTGTGTGGGAACACAGTACTTTCCATTCAATTATCTGTAAATCTGAAACCACTCAAAAATATATTTTTAAAAACTTGAATATGAGCCATTTCATATGGTTCAACTTAAAAATATGTATACCTTCACTGTTAAGCAAAGTGTTATCAATCTCATGCTTCACTCTTGATTCCCTGCCACCCCTGGTGTCTCTGAGTCTGTAGACCCTGGTTTAATTTCTCTAAAGAACAAAACTTCTGTTTCCTTTGTCTGTGGAAGAGGAGTACTTGCCTGAGTGATCTTGGTATAGGGGACAGGCACGTGATTTGAGTTATTCTTCATAGAAGCTTTCAACCAGTTCCTCTGTTTTTGGCTGCCTGCCTTCTCTGATACATCATGCTTCCACCTCCTGAGCTTTTGCAGGATTTTTGTTCACATCTGCTTGCTGTTTGTATCCTCCATATCCCTTCACAAGCAGAGCTTGGGTTTTAGCTCCCTCAGATCTGCTAAATAACTTACCACACAAAAATGTATTGTGTCTTCTGTTGTCTCCTTTCTCCCTCTTTATTTTGAAGATTTATATTTTCTATATTCATTTACTGCTATTTTGGTGAGATTTCCAAAGGAAGTAGAGAAGCATACCTATGTTCAGAATGTCTTGTTTAACCAGTTTGCTTTCATTTTTCAGTGAGATTTTTAAAAATTTTTTCTTCTGTTTTTAATAATTATACCAATTTATTGATTATGTGTTCTCTTCAGAGCTCTGACGAGTTCTGTTTGGGAGGATGCTACAGAAAATTGGTGCTTTTTAGATGACACTACTTAAAATATCTGGAAAGAAATGTCTCTAGAATCATAGTTATAAACTAAACTGTATGTTTTTAGTTGTTCACAGGGCTTAGGGCTCCTGCCAGAGGATTGTTACTGTTTGGTCCACCTGGAAATGGGAAAACAATGCTGGTAAGAATTCTTTTAAAATTTGAGTGTTCTTTTTTCTTTTCTTTTTTTTTTCAAGGTTTTATTTATTTGAGAGAGAGAGAACGCAAGCACAAGTTGCGGCGGGGGGTAGGCAGGAGAGGGACAAGTAGACTCCCTGCTGAGCAAGGAGCCCGATGCTGGGCTCTGTCCCAGGACCCCAGGATCATGACCCAAGCTAAAAGCAGATGCTTAACCAATTGAGCCACCCAGGCGCCCCTTGAATGTTCTATTTAGATAATCAGAAATAGTAATATGAAAAAAGAAACTTTGTCCCTGAGTTATTTTTATGATTTGCTTTTTGCTATAATACAGTTCTCTTAAGTTTTTAAACATGTTTTTAATGAAGAAATATATGAAAAACCAAATGTTATCTTCAGTAGTATGTTTTGGGCTGGTTAAATTTAACAGTATATTTTTCATTATTTACCCAAGTTAAATAATATTTTTACTTCAGAAGAGCTTACCTTATTATATTGGGTATTATTCTAACCCGTTTTTTTGGGTTTTTTTTGTTTGTTTGTTTCTCATTTTTTTCACTATCTTAACAGCGTTATTTAAATAATCACATAATAGGGACACCTGGGTGGTTCAGTGGGTTAAGCCGCTGCCTTCGGCTCAGGTCATGATCCCAGGGTCCTGGGATCGAGTGCCGCATCGAGCTCCTTGCTCAGCAGGGAGCCTGCCTCTCTCTCTGCCTCTCTGCCTGCTTGTGTGCTTTCTCTCTCTCTCTTTCTGACAAATAAATAAATAAAATCTTTAAAAAAAATTAAAAAATAAACAAAAAATAATCACATAATATACTTTTTTCTTTCCTTCTTTTTTTTTTTTAAATACAATTGACATATAACAGATTTTTTTCAATATCCTTTTGCCCAAGTTTCTACTGGGATAACTCTTTTTCCTGCACAGCTCTTCTAGAGGGGAAAAGTAAAGAGGAAAAGAGTTTAGCTGTTTTTCTCCCAACAGTTGTCTTTCTATAATTAAGAAAAGCATAACACCCTTTTTTAAATCTCTCCTTATCTATTCCTCCTTAGAAAAAATAAAGAAAATGGAAAGAAGCAAAGCTCTTCCTAGACCTTTTCTTCTTTGCTGAGAAGGAAACATTGATTGCCACATGTCAGGAATTGTGTTATAGTTTATATTTTTGGAAAAGCTTTGCTAGTGTTTAAATTGATCAAATGTAGTTATCTTTTTAAAGGAAGACATTGAAACTAATGTAATATTTGTCCTTGTCATTTTTAAGGCTAAAGCAGTAGCTGCAGAATCCAATGCAACCTTCTTTAATATCAGTGCTGCAAGTTTAACTTCAAAATATGTGAGTGTTTTTTCTAATATTGTCATGTTTTATGTTACTGTCTAAATGTTACTAAGTATAAATGCTAATAACATTATACAATGATATTTTTGGGTTTTATATCTATATTTAGATATGAAAATCAGTCACTCTTCCAACTAGAAACTTAGGCTGTTTTAAAGACAGAAGTGTGCTGTCAATGCTGTTTTAGTTTGCTGGGGCTGTGTAACAGAGTACTATAAACTGGCTGGCTTAAAAAACAGAAATTTATTGTCTTACAGTTTTGTAGACTAGAAGTCCAAGATCAGGTATTGGTAGGGTTCTCATTTTTGTAAAGTAATTAAAAGTAACTATAAAATGATACCTCTTTTCTTGGTTAAATTTTACTTTCTGTTTGAAGTTTTATAAGTAAAATTGTTATTAAAATAGGTACACCCAACATTATACACTGGAAAACACTGTCTTGGAAGTTAGGGGAGAGGAATTCCAGCCTAACTTTTGGGTACTGAGCTGGCCTTAAGAAGATACCACTTTTCGGTCTCACTTCATTTGTGAAGTGTTGATGTTGCACAAGGCAATCTCCTGCAGTTCCTTCTAGCTCTGTGAATATTTGTTTTGATGATTCTAAATCTGAGGCCATTCTTTTTTTTCTCTTTAAAGAAATTTTCAATTAAAAAATAGGTGCCATCTATAGGGTAGAGGAGTTTTTACAGTAGATTACTCCAAACCTCATGACGCTTTCATTAGATGCTTTTAGTGTATAGAATGGTTTTAGTAATGTCTCAGCCCCTGGATATTTCAAGGGGTGTTCTTAGACCTCTTGGGCTACCTAGAAATATTTGTATGCTTATCAACAATGATATGGTGAGAATGAATTTAAGTAAGTTTAGGAGAGCACTTTCCAGCTTATGTGGTTCTATAAATATACCCTACAATTGAGGGCTTAAGAAATCTGTACAGTATCTCTTTCTCTACCCTAATAGACTGTCTTCTCACTAGTTATACTCATAATAGCTATTTCATTCTCAAGTCTTATGAATGCAGGGTCAAATAGAACAGAAATGTATTTCATTTTTTAAAGTACTTACCAGACCAGATCCAGGTTTCAGCACCAAAAATAATAATAATAATAATAATAATAATAGTAAAGTACTTACCAGACTGTATTAAATAATAGTCTGTTTTTTTATTATAAAAGGCAATTCAGCATCCCCGCTCCCCACCAATTCCTTAAACCAAATCTTTGATAATTGCAAAGAAAGGAAATTAAATTCCTACATTCTAGATTTTTAATCTTGAAATTTAAGCAGCTCGAATAATGTTGCATTTTATATGTATTACAGTGTATAATGCCTTGTTTCAGGTGGGAGAAGGAGAGAAATTGGTGAGAGCTCTTTTTGCTGTGGCTCGAGAACTTCAGCCTTCCATAATTTTTATAGGTAAGAATATGTTTTATAACTAAGTTGAGTATTTATGAAATTCCCCTTTCCAAATTTGAGAGAGATGATAGGAAAGATTATTCAGAAGGAAAAAGTTTTAAAGAAGTGCAAAGTTAAACACTAATTAATTGAGTAGGACCCAGGATATTAATAACTTAAGTAGTAAACAAGATTAATTTCATATGACTCATATAGCTTGGCTTTTAATTAAAGTCTTATCCTTGTATTTCCATTAGATGAAGTTGATAGCCTTTTGTGTGAAAGAAGAGAAGGAGAACATGATGCTAGTAGACGTCTAAAAACTGAATTTCTAATAGAATTTGATGGTGTAAGTACTGATTATGGTATTTTTAAGGTGGTAGTATTTTAGTATACAGTTAAATGACCCAAATTAGAAATACAGATACCTTTATCATGTTTTTGTTATTACTCTTTCTAAAAGTACTGAAAAATTTTTTTGGCTTATAGGTACAATCTGCTGGAGATGACAGAGTGCTTGTAATGGGTGCAACTAATAGGCCACAGGAGCTGGATGAGGCTGTTCTCAGGTAGGGAGATGATGTAGAAGCACACATCAGTTACAGGTGTATTTATTTCTGTGTTCCTCTCACATATCTCTTATTTCCTTTACTCCTAATTTGAAGACGAAATTCATTATTTTCCTTCTAGTATCCATCCTTTGGCTTTTACTGACTACTAAAGGTTTTGAAGACAGAACTACCATGATCCCACGAAAACTAGTTCACACTCTGGTTTCAGGCAGCCATCCTTAATTCTTCTGATTAGGATTAAATTATCTTAAAACTCTAGAATTGATTCTTATTCCCTTTTACTGGGCTTCATGAGAAGCTGATAAAAGCAGGATTCATGGGAACTGTTCTGTGTTCTTGTGTGATTGAACAAATTTATTCCCTTCCTACTGAGAGGACAGTTTGAGTCAGTGTAAAATTCTTGGGCCTCCCTTTCTGTTCCTGAGGAATTGATTACATTGCCCCATTGTTTCTAGGATTAAATGTTGCAGAGTAAAAGTCTGAAGCCAGCCTGCTTTTTTTTTTTTTTTAAAGATTTTATTTATTTGACAGAGATCACAAGTAGGCAGAGAGGCAGGTAGAGAGAGAGAGGAAGGAAAGCAGGCTCCCTGCTGAGCAGAGAGCCCGATGCGGGGCTCGATCCCAGGACCCTGGGATCATGACCTGAGCTGAAGGCAGAGGCTTTAACCCACTAAGCCACCCAGGTGCCCTGAGAGTCAATCTCTTGATTTCAGCTCAGGTCATGGTCTCAGGTCAGGAGATTGAGCCCCATATCAGGCTCAGTGTGGGGCCTGCTAGGGATTCTCTCTTTCTCCCTCTCTCCCTCTGCCTGTCCCCGACTTGTGCTCACTCACACTCTCTCTCTCTTTCTTTAAAAAAACAAACAAAAAAGATACACATACATAAATTGTTACTTTAATTCTGACAATATTGAATTAAGATTTTTTAAAACATTATCTGGAGAGTTTTAAAAGAGTAACTCAAGGGGTGCCTGGCTGGCTCAGTCAGTAGAACATGAGATTCCTCATCTTGGGGTTGCAAGTTCAAGCCCCATGTCGGGTGTAGAAATTAAAATCTTTAAAAAACAAATAACTAAAAAAAAAAAAAAAAAAAACCAACAAATAACTAAAAATAACTTCATACTGATGACTACTAAAATGCACTCAGATGTTATACTTGAAGCTTTTGTCTTGTCATCTGCTACTTGAACTGAGTTACTTTTACTTTCAAAACCGTGTTTCTGAAATTGTATGAATCCTTTTTTTAGGCGTTTCATCAAACGGGTATATGTGTCTTTGCCAAATGAGGAGGTATGTATCTGCATTTTTTTTTTTAAACAGAAACAAGACCTACCATCTTGACAATATTGATCTTCCAATCCTTAATATAGCCACATTGAAAAACAGTTTGGCAATTTCTTAAAAAGACAAATGTAAACTTAAGACCCAATAATTCCTTTTCTAAGAATCTGCTCACAACAGATGAAAACATATGTCTGCACAAAGATGTGTATAAGAAGTTTTATATTTATAAATAATAGCCAAGAACTGTAAGGAATATAAGATGTTCATCAACCAGAGAATGGATAAACAAATTTGGCATATGCATTTAATGGAATAGTGTTTAGCAATAAAAGGATTGAGATATTTATACATGCTATAATACAGAAAAACCCCAAAAAGATACTAAGTGAAAGACACCACGTGTAAAAGATAACCTATCATATAATTCCATTTGTATGAAATGTCCAGAAAAGGAATATTTCTAGAAACCAAAGGAAATCATGGTTTGCAAAGGCTACGGGTGGAAGTGGGGATTAACTGCAAACAGGCAGAAGTGAATTAATTTGGAGTGACAGAAATGTTCTAAAAGTAGATTATGGTGGTGGTTACACAACTGTTTATTTATTAAATTGATTGAATTGAATTATATATTTAAAATGGGGAGATTAATGTCCTATGAATTCATACCTCTATAAAAGTGTTTTTTAAAAACTGTGATTGTTGAGGCACCTGTGTGGCTCAGTGAGTTAGGGATCCGACTCTTGGTTTCCACTTCAATTGTGAGATCAAACCCCACTCAGCCACAGAGTTTGCTTAAGATTCCCTCTGTCTCTCCTTCTCCCTCAGCGCCTCCCCACTGCACTCCTGCACGCTCTCTCTCTTTAAAATAAATGACTCTTTAGAAACAATAAAAGTATTAAATTAAAAATTGTGGTTCTCTAGCTCAGACCCTTAACATTCTTGATAATAGTAGCACTACTTCTTTAGTGTTTTATTTGGATTATCTTTAAGTCTCTCAAGAACTCTCAAAAAATGGTAGTTTATTTTTCTTTAAAGATTTTATTTATTTGAGAGAGAGAGAAAGCACGAGTGGGGGGCGGGGCACAGGGAGAGATAGAAGCAGACTCCCCACTAAGCAGAGAGCCTGATGCAGGGCAGGATCCCAGGCCCTAAGATCATGACCTGAGCCGAAGTCAGATTCTTAACTGACTGAGCCACTGAGGCACCCCAAAAATGGTAGTTTTAACTCCACTTAATAGACATGAGTGAGGTTCTAAGAGTGATTTGTTTGTGATCATTCAGTTCATAAGTGAGGGTCAGGATTTGAACCTAATTTTTGGATATTTCATTAAGCCAGTTCTTGGGACTGATAATTCTTTAATATTTTTTTTCAGACACGACTACTTTTACTTAAAAATCTATTATGTAAACAAGGAAGCCCATTGACCCAAAAAGAACTAGCACAACTTGCTAGGTGAGTAATTTGATTTGGTCTATTCTTAAAGCTTTTCTCTCTTCATTTTTTTTTTTTTTTAAAGGAATTCTTTTTTGTTTAAGGAAAACTCAGGTATGAAATGAGTATTTTATCCTTCAGAGAACATCTCATCCTTTATTTCATCTTTTTTCTTATCTCTTATTCTTACATATATATTTAAATTTAAATTTCTAGATAACTCTACAAGACCTGACCTACATATCTGATGATGATACTATATTCTTTATATAAATTTATTAAAACTTAAAGGGACACCTGGGTGGCTCAGTCTGTTAAGCCTTCGGTCTGCCTTCGGTACAGGTCATGATGCCAGGGTTTTGGAATCCAGTCCTGCATTGGGCACCTTGCTCAGCATGAAGCCTGCTTCTCCCTCTGCCTTCTGCTTTCCCTGCTTGTGCACACTCTCTCTCTCTGACAAATAAATAAATAAAATCTTTAAAAAAAAAACACTTATTATAAGTGGTATTAAAATAATTTTATAAAAATTTGGGGCGCCTGGGTGGCTCAGTGGGTTGAGTGTCTGCCTTCGGCTCAGGTCATGGTCTCAGGGTCCTGGGATCGAGCCCCACATCGGGCTCTCTGCTCAGCGGGGGCCTGCTTCCCCCTCTCTCTCTGCCTTTCTCTCTGCCTACTTGTGATCTCTCTCTCTCTCTCTCTCTCTCTGTCAAATAAATAAATAAAATCTTTAAAAAAATAATAATTTTGTAAAAATTTAAAATTTCTTTTATCTCTGCCCACACCAACACAAGTATTTTCATATAAACTTCTCCTCATGTTACACATAATTTTTTTTTAACTTTTGCATCTTCAGCTTTTTTTATGAGTGGTATACTTAAGTAGAAACTAAATATAGAAGGTGGTCTTGTTGAATTTTAGTCATTAGAAATCTTTTTTTTTTAAAGATTTTATTTTTTTAATTTATTTATTTGACAGAGAGAGAGAGAGAGAGAAATCACAAGTAGGCAGAGAGACAGAGAGAGAGGGGGAAGCAGGCTCCCCGCTGAGCAGAGAGCCCGATGTGGGGCTCGATCCCAGGACCCTGAGATCATGACCTGAGCCAAAGGCAGAGGCTTTAACCCACTGAACCACCCAGGCGCCCCTAGTCATTAGAAATCTTACAAGGTAATATAAATAATCAAAAAGTATGTGAATAACTAGTAATTTTAGTAAAAACTCTTTTGAGTTCCCAGATACCTATGAAAAAAGAATGAATTCAATACTCAGAAACATTGAGGTTCTTCTTTGTCTTTCCAATGAAGAATTCAACTAATACTTGATCTCTGTAGTTACATAACATAGTACATGATTAAGTAAATGCTTTCTTTTCCTGTCTTATTTTTCTCCCCTTTGCCCCTAGTTTTTAGTTCCTTTTGATAATCTCCTGGCTGCCCAGGACTCTCTACTGTGGGCATCCCATTCAGATGTGCCTCTTTTTGCCACTATCTTCTACCCCAGATCCTTCCTTCACCCTGTTTGTCCTACATTTCAAATTGCATAGCTTTCTGCTTGATAACAGGCAAACTAGATGTTACCTTCTTTTTACATCGAAATTTTAAATCTGCAAAGATAAAAATAATTTGCTCTTTTTTCCTTACCATTCTTAGAATGACTGATGGATATTCAGGAAGTGATCTAACAGCTTTAGCAAAAGATGCAGCACTGGGTCCTATCCGAGGTATGTGTATAGACCTTGAAACATTTAGACCTATTCGTTAGATTACTTTAGAAGTTTAAGAAGTCCCTATTGAGAGGTTTTGTTTCTGTTTTAGCTTTAGTAAGAAATCATTTAAGCTTCTAAAAAACTTGATACAAAGTGGTTTCTAGACTTCTCATGGGGCCACATATGTTCTCCATTGCATGTTCTTTTGGTTTCTGTTTGTTTTCACAAAAACAAATATATGAAACCATTCTTAGCTCACAGACCATATAAAGACAGTCAATGGGTGTGTAGACCATGACCCCTGTTTCAAACAACAGATTTCAGGGTTTGTTTTTTTTAATTAAAAAATTTTATTATTAAAGTACAGTTAACATACAAAGTTATATTCATTTCAGATGTACAACATAATGGGTACACAATTCTGTACATTAAAGGATGTTCACGATAAATCACCATCTACCCTATGTTTCACTTCTTAGTGGTAGGCAACCAGCAGAAAACACGAAGGAAAAGAAAACATTTTTAAGCAAGCAAAAAAGAAAAATAAAGGGGAAATGTTCTTACCTGTTTTTGGCTCTTTTCACTCCAATATCCTGATATCACTTGAAATTAAAGTGTCTAAGAGAAGCTTTTATTTGTATTGTTATATGTTATCTTTTGAGAAATTGCTTTGTTTTGATGCAAGGTTATTTGCCGTTTCTGAAATACCACTATGATACCTCTTTAGACTAGATATTCTCAGCTGCTTTTCCACAGCCAGCATGGGCAGTGGGTGGGTGATGCTCTCAGGTATGCACTCAGATTGCTGCCTATGATGATAAAATAGAACATGGAATGGACAACTTCTGGAACACATCTGCAGTGAAACAGTGTATTGACTCAGAATTGCTGCTTTGCAGAATAAGTGTAACCTTGACAATATATTTTGAAATTCTGGGCAAAAAGCATTCTAGTCAAACTCTTGCTGCCTGGTACATGTCACGAGTGGACTCAACCAATACATAATACATAAACCATTTGTATTTTTTCAGAAAATTTTAGCTATTATTCTGAAGCAGATAAAAGTTATTGGGTTTAAAAAAAATAAAGCCTTTGTGAAGAAAAAAACTACATTCTTTTAACTTCAAAGCTATGAAATTTACTGTTCTTAGGCAATATGCAGAGAAAGTGAATGCCTCCCACTTACTCCTAAAGACATCCTAAGCATTTATAAATTGTGCTCTTAATATTTTTTAATTTATTTTTTTAATAAACATATAATGTATTTTTGTACTCTTAATATTAATGTGTATTTTCCTTTTAATAGAAATAACTTATATTGAACATGTACTTTTAGATCATTGTACCCGTTTTTGCTCTTCAGCAATTTAAACTTAGAAATCTTTTTTTTTAAATGGCTGTCTTGTATTTTACAGAACTGAAACCCGAACAAGTAAAGAATATGTCTGCCAGTGAGGTATATTACTTTCTAGTTATCTTTTCTTTGCTCTGGTTCTCTATATTGTAAGACCTATCTTTTATCTGGATTTTCATAGTTAATTAGAAGCTAGAAATAGTTAACTTTGCTTTATTTCAAAATATAGGGGTGTATCAAATTACAATCTCTTAATGGTGTTTTTTGGTAATATTAAACAGAAAAAAATTATAGAAAACTTAAGAATTTTGTTCTTTGTAACAAGTTAATCCCTTAATATTCTATTTTGTAAGATTTTCAGCATTTGTTTTTGTCCTTATAAAAGCAATACCATTGTAATGTAATTCATTACATTTTAATATCGTAGGCCCTCTTGGGAAAATGCTAGTGCATTTCTTTCGAAAAAGATTGCCTGCAAAATATAAAGTTGGACATGCAGAATTATTGTAATAACTATGTAAGCAAACATTTAAAATTAGTATTATATTTATAATTTATAAGTCAGAGATATTTTTTACTGCCCAAATTTCAACAGCTATTGAGGACACAGTGAACTCTTAACATAGAGAATGAATGTATTTGAGTACATTTTGACAGTCTTTTTTCTTCAAACTTCTAAGTAAACTTAGTTGTTTTGCAGTATTTTGTGTGTGGTAGTTAATCAGCTGCATTACTAAGAATACCCTCACATTTACTGCAACCATCATTCCATTTTTTTTTTTAATTTTTTTTTTTACTTTTAAGATTTTATTTACTTGACAGAGACACAGTGAGAGAGGGGGAGTAGGAGAGGGAGAAGCAAGTTCCCTGCTGAGCAGGGAACCGGATGTGGGGCTCAATCCCAGGACCGTGAGGTCATGACCTGAGCTGAAGGCCGTTGCTTAATGACTGAGCCACCCAGGCGCCCCTACCATTCCATTTTAAAAGTCTATTTTACCTAGAGTGTATTTGATATGAATGAAGGCTAGGAATGGAGAATTGCACATGCTTTCTCTCTGGCATTTTGCTGCTATTTCCTTAAAAATGCACATTTAAAATGTAAGTTTCAAGTCCCTTTTATCTGACTTATAATTTTAATTCCACATTTTTAAAATTCTTTCTTTACATGAAAGTACGGTACAGTTTGTGTTCCCAGTGTCTTGTGGGGTTTTATTTTTTATTTATTTTTTTTTTTAAATATTTTGTTTATTTGACAGACAGAGATCACAAGCAGGCACAGAGGCAGGCAGAGAGAGAGGAGGAAGCAGGCTCCCTGCTGAGCAGAGAGTCCGATGTGGGGCTCGATCCCCGGATGCTGAGATCATGACCTGAGCCGAAGGCAGAGGCTTTAACCCCCTGAGCCACCCAGGCGCCCCTCTTGTGGGTTTTTAAAAATAGTTTAAGTATAATTTATTAATAATATCCCACAAATACATTTTTTAATGTTCTTAAAGCATAATCCTGATAATATCTTTCTACCCAAAAAGTAAGCATCATGCATGAATTATTTCTTCTCCACACACTGTTCCCCTGCCTTGGACCCAGGATAGGTAATCTTGATCCCTCCTATACTCTGGCCCCCTAGATTCAGACTGAGGAGAGGCCAACTATGTGACAATTTAGGGCTCTGTATTTGTCCCTTAGAAAGACCATGTGGAATAAAGGGACTAATTAAGGCAGTAATGAGCTAAAACCACCAACTGGCAAATAAGTTTGAATAAGAACCAATCTCTAAATTCTCAAATGTCTTAACAGCCAAAATCCACTCACCTCTTCATCTGCAAGTATTCTGTCTGTCTCAAGCTCTAAGGCCATAGCATTTCTTGTGGAAGTCCATTGGGAAGTCCACTTGTACCTATAAATGGAATGCTTTGATACACTTTGATTACTATAATAACTGGCAGCCTTATTACTTACAATAAGTAGGTGGCTGCTTAGAGAGTAGGAACTCTTACAAGGCTGTCCATTATTGCATGAGATAAGAGACCAGTTTTCTACTGATAGTGGCTCTGTTAACCTTTGTGTATATTTTGCCCATCCTGAGAATATCTACACAATCAAATTTGAGCAACATTTTTCTTTTATTTTTTAAAGACATTTATTTATTATAAAGAAGGAGAGCAAGCAAGTTGGGGGAGGAGTGGAGGGAGAGAATCTTCAAGCAGACTCCCTGCTGAGCAGGGAGCCTGACGTGGGACTTGATCTCATGACCTGAGATCATGACCTGAGCTGAAACGGAGGCAGATGCTTAACTGAATGAGCCAACCCAGGCGCCCCAGCAACATTTTTCTTCACCGAACAATATCAGCCTAAATATAGTTCCTGTTTTATTTGGAGATGAAAGAAACTTTTTTTTTTTTTTTATAACTCATGACTTTAAAACAAGATAGTTCTGTTGCTATAGGTATGAATAGCCATATAACAAGTTGCCCAAAAACTTAGCTTAAAATGACCACATTTATTATCTCACATTTTCATGGGGTTGGGAATATGGGCATAGCTTAGCTGAGTCCTCTGCTTTGAGCTCTGTCAGAGGGCTGCAATCAAGGTGTTGGCCCAAGGTCTCTTACAGAGCTGTAATCAAGACGTTGGTTGGGGCTGTAGTCATTACAAGACTCAACTGCAGCATATCTGCTTCCACACTCACTCACATAGTTCTTTGCCAGATTCACTTCTTTGTGGGTTGTTGAGGTGAGAGCCTGTTTTCTTAGTCATTGGCTGAAGGCCTCCTTCAGTTCTTTTTCCACATAGGCCTCTCCAACATAGTACTTTCTTCATCAAAGCAAGCAAGCCAGGAAGAAGAGAAAGCATCAGCAGGATGGAAGTCAAAGTCTTTATAATCCTGAAAGTGACCTCCCGTCACTTTTGCAGTAGTCTGTTCTTAATGTCCAGTCCACATTCAAGGGGAAGGAATTACAGAAGGGCATATATAACAAGAGGTGGGAATCATTACTTGTCAGAAGATGCCCAACATATCTGTAAATCAATTATAATTTTTTTTTAATGTTTAAAGGGTTACATTTGGCCAGTGAAATTTGCTTTTCACATTAAGGTGTGCCCTTTTAACATTACTTTCAAACTTTGAGACGCATTCTTGCATTCTGGGAGCTAGGCATTTAATCTCAACACCTGGAATCAGGAACTCTACAGGAACCCTGCTTCATTTTTTTTTTAAGATTTTATTTTTAAGATTTTTAATTCTCTATGCCTAACATGGGGCTTGAACTCATAACCCTCAGTTTAAGAGTTACATGCCGTACCACCTGAGCCAGCAGGACACCCCAAGAATGCTCATTCATTTTAATGGAGAATAACGTTAAGACTCTAGGATTAGAAATGTATACTGCATTGTTTTTTATTAGTACTGGTGTTAAATTAGCCTACTCCAATGACAAGAGCCTGAAAAATACACATATTTTAGAAATATTATTAATTCGGGGTGCCTGGGTGGCTCAGTGGGTTAAGCCTCTGCCTTTGGCTTAGGTCATGATCTCAGGGTCCTGGGATCAAGCCCCATATTGGGCCCTCTACTCAGCGGAGAGCCGGCTTCCCCTCACCTCTCTCTGCCTGCCTCTCTGCCTACTTGTGATCTCTGTCAAATAAATAAAATCTTAAAAAAAATAAAAATAAATATATAAATAAATCTTTAAAAAATTAATTCACTCTGATAGAGTACATTTATTTCAATATTTCAGCATAACATCTACTTGAATTTTAATCCCACACCTAAAATATAATTTTATCCACCTTTTTTTTAAATATATAAGGAAGAACCTTATTTTAGACTAAACTTTAGAGAGGAACACTAAAAACTTAGTAAAACTGTTGAATGAATTACAAGAAATGACATTACTGGTATCGTTTGTGACCATTGTACTAATTATGTATTAGGTTACATTGTTACAAGTTTTGGTTCTACTGTATACTTTTATCCAGTTTATTTTTAATCTGATGGGTTTTTCTAAAGATTTTATTTATTCATGAGAGACAGAGAGGCAGAGGCAGGAGAGGCAGGCTCCCCACGGAGCAGGGAGCCCAGTGTGGGGCTCAATCCCAGGATGCTGGGATCATGACCTGAGATGAAGGCAAGACGCTTAACCATCTGAGCCATCCAGGCGCTCTAATCTAATAGTTTAAGTATTAATAATTTGGTAGTACTTTTAGCTGTTAGTCTTGGACTTACGAGTTAATATTTATAAAATGCTTAAACCAATCTGGCAATAGTGGATGCTATGTAAGTGTCCATAGAATAACTTTAAAATACATAAATAATAATAATGACATTTTATTATGGAGATTAAATAAATTATTTTATCAGTCACATTTATGAGAGAGGAAAATACAAGTAGTTTGGTTTCTAAAATCTTATACTAGTATTTTTTTAGTCATTATTCAGTACAACTGTAATGACTAAGGGTATTATCAGGCACTGGTATATATACTATAAATACACACATTTAGGTGAGATAAGCAGAATTTGACTTTTATAGAATATAAAGAATATTTTATGAGAATAGAAACAATTATATTGGAATTCTATGTTTTTAAAAGGTAGTGCTAAAAATTGTTGGCTATAAATTCAGGGTACGATGTACTCTGTTTTTAAATCACAAAGTTTGGGGTGCCTGACTGGCTCAATCAGTAGAGCATGTGACTCTTAATCTCAGGGTCATGAGTTCAAACCCCATGTTGGGCACAGAGCCTACTTAAAAATAAATAAAATAAAAAATAAAGCACAGTTTGTATCCACTTTAACTTTGACTTTGTTATTTCATTAGTTTGTTTTGATAAGATATCTTTGCCATTTATTTTTCTCTTTCTCAAATTAGCTACTAGTTGCTTTTCCTGTTGCATATATTCATCTGTTACTAACTTCAAAATATCATATATAAATTTCATATATATTTATGTGCACCTTTCTATACAGTTCAATTGAAATTTCATCAAAAGCTTTTAAGACTTTAATTTCTGCAACAGATACATTTTATTCAAGAATATCATAGGTAGGGGCGCCTGGGTGGCTCAGTGGGTTAAAGCCTCTGCCTTCGGCTCAGGTCATGGTCCCGGGGTCCTGGGATCGAGCCCCACATTCCCCTGTATCAGGCTCTCTGCTCAGCAGGGAGCCTGCTTCCTCCTCTCTCTCTGCCTGCCTCTCTGCCTACTTGGAATCTCTGTCTGTCAAATAAATAAATAAAATCTTAAAAAAAAAAAAAAAGAATATCAGGTAGTGGATTACATTCATCATCCTTCTACTCTTTGGGCTTTAGGAAGAGCCAGTGTGTGTTTTAGTTAAAAAAACGAGTAGGGCTCATATGATTATGTGGTAACAATATGTCCTTTTCCTTTTTGACTAAGATTAGTCTACAGTTTACAAGTGTGGGTGATTTTCTCAATCTGTGCTCATCTAGATATCAGAGGGTGTGAAATAATTAGATTCGGTTTTATAAGAGTAATAAAAAGAAGAATATATATGAATATCAGTTGATGTTTTATCTCAAATTGTCCTTTAACTTATATTTGGGCAAAATGCACATGTATATATTGGTGACAATTTTTAAAACTGTTTAATTTTGTGCCAAGCTTCTTTTGAGTTTTCAAGGTATTCAGGTAATTATAGATACATGTTGATTCAGCATTGTTTTATTCTACATTCTCATAGCCAATTAAAAAGGTCAGAAAATGAGGAGCACCTGGGTGGCTCAGTCGGTTAAGTGTCTGCCTTTGGCTCAGGTCATGGTCTCATGGTCCTGGGATTGAGCCCCACTTGGGGCTCCCTGCTAAGCGGGAAGTCTGCTTCTCCCTTTCCCTCTGCCTTTCTCCTGGCTTGTGCGCACTCGCTCTCTCTCTCTCTGTGTCTCTCATATAAAATCTTTTTAAAAGGTCAGAAAATAGGGGTGCCTGGGTGGCTCAGTGGGTTAAAGCCTCTGCCTTCGGCTCAGGTCATGATCCCAGGGTCCTGGGATCGAGCCCTGCATCGGGCTCTCTGCTCAGCGGGGAGCCTGCTTCCTCCTCTCTCTCTCTGCCTGCTTCTCTGCCTATTTGTGATCTCTGTCTGTCAAATGAATAAATAAAATCTTAAAAAAAAAAAAAGTCAGAAAATGAGGCCAAATTAATACAAAATGTATTACAAGTAATATTAGTATTAGAAAATTTCAGATACAAACATCCTATATGTTGTGAAAAGCATTATTTTCTTAAAAGTCTCATGTGCTTCTTGTAAACCATCTTCCTTTCTAATAAACCCAGCATGAATTTAGCTAGAGTATGCTTGTGGTGAGACTTGAGAATTCTGAATGATGTAATTGCGATTCTTTTTTCTGCTTGTCTGTATTTGTCAAATTTTCTATAAGGAGTGTTTTCTGTTTTTATAATGGGAAAATATTGGGACTTAAAATTTTAATACCTAAGAAATTAAACACATATAATAAAAGTATATTAATATAGCATATAAGATTTCTTATATAGCAGACTTGCCTAACATATAATAATATGTAAAATAAGATGATTGGCACAATTTTCTAAGAATACATGTATATATATAACAATAATAAGCAGCATCATTACTTTAATCCATCTTTGGGTTAACTACTGAATATATTTTCATCATTTGTACTGTCATGCGTTTTTTTAAAATCTAGATGAGAAATATTCGATTATCTGACTTCACTGAATCCTTGAAAAAGATAAAACGCAGCGTGAGCCCTCAAACCTTAGAAGCATACATACGTTGGAACAAGGACTTTGGCGATACCACTGTTTAAGGAAAGACCTCTGTAAGCCTGCAGAACACTTTGCTTTTGAAGAGAGAAACATGCCATGTTAATTGAATAGCTATCAGCTACAGAAATTGAGCCTAAGTTTACAGGACTTTTCAGAGTCTTACAATTACTTGTGCACCCCAGCAGATGCACCATAAAACAAAATTTTAATAAAATATACAGTGCAAATGGAGTATTTTGTTGAAGGCCTGTTCATGGTTATCCCGATGGGCGCTGTAAGTTAGAGCACAACAAAAGCTGATTCTGGTCTTCTTTACCAATATAATCATGATGTAAATAATAATTTGTATATTGTGTTGCAGATGAAAGTATTCCAGAGACAGTGAATGGTAGAAGACACAAGCGCCTTTGGTTGTTTGTCTTCTGATGTCTTTTCTTAAAATAGTAATTTTTTCTATTTTCCTTTCCTGCTGTTGTCTTTACTACAGAGGATTAGAATGCCAAACACTCTATAAGTTCCTTTTTGTTCTTTTCTTTTATAAGTCCATTGTGCCAAATGAAACTTCTTCCTATGTAACAGTAATAGGAAAAAGTATTTTGAAGGTTTTTCTTTTTCATAAATCTACGCATTAAACATTGTGTTTCACTTTTCATTTTTCTATTACCTTGTTACCAATTTAGAAAAGAATTTGTTGATAGCAACAAAGCAAATCTAGTAAAATAGAAAGAGAGATGGTTAGAAGGTTTGAGTCATTCTGTCATTACAACATGTAGATCAGTCCTCGTGTGACCTGAAAGTATTTTTTTCTAATATATCTGTCAGAAATCTATTGTAGACTGTTAATTTATTCCTAATGGAGTTTATTTTCTGCTAGAATTATTCTAATATTTAAGAAGGCCAAGTTTAACTGCTGTAAAAGTGGTTCCTGTGTGAGAGAAGGGAAGAACTGAGAGCTAAGACATTTCTAATTTATTGCTTATTGCTTTCTTACTGTTTACAGGATAATTATAAGCCAATGGATCTACCATCTTTTATTCTTAATAATTATTAATCCCCTCAATGAACCTTTAAAAAATTACTGAATTTTTATACATTGCATACATTTTATAGGTTTCTTGTGCTCACTTTGTTAACTAAAAAGTTAGTCTGTTAATCTGTCTCTTGTTCCCCAAGAATGTACAATAATTCTGTTTCTCGTTTGTATAAGTATGCCTGAGTTTTATTATAAAACTGTCATTGTAGGAGGTAGAGACTCATATGGCTTTTTAAATATTGTAATAAAGGCAAATGGATATTTGCCCTTAGTTTACTGGTTAAAAGTTTGTTTACAGAAATTTTCTTTGGTGCTTTTATGTAAAATGTCATGGATGGAAAGAATAATTTCATAGTAGTAACAAAGATTTTTTTCATTTAGGAAAAATATCTTTGGTTTTGAGAGAATACATTAAAATTAAAAACTTGCTCCATCTAGATAAGAATTTTATAATGAAGACATACATTCTTCTTAATTTTAATCTTGTTCCTGTTAAAGACTTACCTACATATAGAAGATGTATGGTTTAAGGTAATGTGCTATTTGTAGCTATAATTTAAATGTCTCCTCTAATCATGACCTTAGAACTCCCTGGATAACAGAAATGAGGGTTGAAATAAATAGGAAGAAAAAAAAAAAAAAAAACTAAGCCAGAACCATGCCCATTTTCAGTCATATGTTGTTATCTTTTTAAGATCTCAAACATTAAAGCATCAATTATAAAATACTGATAATGAAAGATGATGCAGTATACATGATGACAAGAATTAGGAATATCCAAAGTTAAAACATTCTCAATAAAGTTCATAAAATTTCACTTTGTATTTTCATTTAGAAAAGGATTAACATTGATGATGCTTGAATAATAGTCGGTTATACTAAATGTGTGTGCTTCACGTTCAACTTTTAAAATGTAATCTTTAAATTTACCATGATCCTGTCTGCACTAATGTAGCTCACTATTTTTATTGGAATAGTTTTTAGATCACAAAGATATCAAATGTTAAAAGTTAAGCTAATATTGTCATAAACACTGAGTCAGAATTATATTACTGTATGAATAGCAATTCATACAGTATAGAAGTTATTTTACTTCCCTGACCAAAGTCTGAAGTTGAACTTAGTGCTAGTGAACTATTTTCTATGACTTACTTTTTACTTTACTTTATTTTTAGTTTAAGCTGGGCTTTTATTTCTCCTCATAGAATGACTATGAAAATAAGATGATGATACAATAGGAGGTGAAAGGGATTGGTCTGCTATTTTTCAATAAAGGTAGAAGTTGCCGAGGGTTTCTGAATTAAGATTAGACTTAGGTTGTGACCTTTTAGATTCTACATTGAGCTTCCTGTCATTAATTTCTTAGAATATAATGCCTAAACATGAAAGGTTAGTGTGCTCATGTTAATATGGCAGTGTTTTGTAAACTATATTAAAACTTGTTGTTATACTGGGCTTTGAGACAAGGGAAGTCAATACTATCTTTCCCGGATATACAGTAGAAGTTTATTCTAAGTCTGCCATTGAGGTTATTAGATTTCTCACTATGCTTTGTGCTTAGGAAGAAGTGGAGGAAAAACAGATACTAGAATTACAATTTAAGTAAATAAACAGCAGTCTTTATTTATAGAGTAAAATTCTTTATATTTTGTACAAAAATTAATTCTTTTGGTAGAATGAACCATTTACAGTTTGGCTTTGGACTCTGGAGTCAAAGTATTTTCCTTAAAATGCTTACCTCAAAAAAAAAAAAAAATGCTTACCTCAACTTTTAATCTGGTCTTTTGTATTTTATTTCAGAAAAAAAATGAACTAAAAAGTTTAGCTGCATAAAGTAGGTTTTTATCCTAATGGCTTGGAAATAAATGATAAATTTTATTTTGCCTTTAATTTTTTTATTTGAAACTTTTTGAGGTTTCAGAGGTTGCAGTCTAGCAGTGAAGGAGTAGCTTGTACTATTGCCAATAGTTATAATCTGAACAAAATATAAAAGCAAAGATTAGAAAACTCTAGAGAGCAAGCAAAAACAGGCAGAAACTGCACAAAATCATGTACTAGAAGAGATCCACATTAACCAGCTTTTACCCCAACGGCAATTTCCAGTTTGTGTAATGTGCTTAGAAACAGACTTCAAGCAGAATGAACAGTCTTTCTGGGCTGAGGACTCATTTGGGACTTGTAAAACAGCTAGAAATTAGGAGGGAAATCTTAAGAGTTTTAGATATAAGCCCCAGGATATGCCTACAAATTTCTTTCAAATCCTTAGTGGACTCCAAAATTGTACCTGCGTAGTGTAATATTCAAAGGAACCTACCAGAAAGCAATAGTTGAAATCTAACGAACTGTAGAGGAACTGTATTCTGGGGGAATACAGAGTTTGAAATTCAAATTCCACTAAAAGGGGTTTAATAAATATGATGGGTTTTCCACTGAAACCCAAAAAGGACCATAATAAGGAAGAAGGACAACATCCTAGATGTAAGGGCCATACTTTAGTTAGGACTGTGGGCAAAAGGATAAACTCACTGTAACAAAGCTTAAAATCAAGTTTTCACAGCATCAAGATTATCCATTGTAATTTCACAGCTAGCCAGAAGAGAACACATTTTTTTAAAGATTTTATTTTATTTGACAGAGACTCAGCTAGAGAGGGAACACACGCAGGGTAATGGAAGAAGGAGAAGCAGGGTTTCCGCTGAGCAGGGAGCCCGATGCCGGGCTTGATCCCTGGACCCTGGATCATGACCTGAGTCGAAGGCACACACTTAATGACTGAGCCACCCAGGCACCCCAAGAACACATTTTTTTAGAAGAAAATAGAATCCAGAGTTTTCACAACACATCCACAAAGTCCAGTACACAATAAAAAAAATTACTAAACATACCATGAAGAAGTATATCCATAATCAATAGAAAACATGTAGAAGCAAATGCAGAGATGATTCACAAGTTGGAATTAACAAATTTTTTTTTTCAAAATTATTTTAAAACCGCTTTAAAACTTGTAAAACAATAGGAAAAAAAGATGAATGAACAGATTAGGATTTTTGGTGGAGAAACAGATACTGAAAACCAAAGGGAAAGTCTGGTAATGAAAAAAAACTGAAATGAAACATAGTATCTGAAATAAATTTCACTGGATGGGCTTCAGAGTGAACTGGACACAGCAGAGGAAAGACAACGGGAAGACAAGCTGATACAATTATCAAACTCAAGCACAGAGAGAAAGAAAAAATAGCAAAGGTTTGATACCTGTGGGAAAATACCAATCTAATTTACCTCTCGTTTGAGGCCCAAAAGGAGAGGAGAGGAGAAGAATGGGGGAAAATAAACATTTGATGCAGTAATGCCCAATGTTTCCCTTAAACTGTTGAAAGACATCAACTTACAGATCCAAAAAGTTCAGTAAACCCCAGGCATGATAAATACAGAAAAGACCATGTCTGGATACATCAGATTGCCAAAAAATAGAAAAGTGAAAAGAAAAATCTATAAGCAGTCAGAAAGGGGAAATGACATTATATTCAAACAAACAATCATTGACCTCAGAATATGGACTAATCAAAATGGTAAGTGGACAAGACAGGGAATGTCCTCACGGAGGCCCAGGGTAACTAAAGCAAAGCTTGACCAGTCACTTTTTTAACCATTGATTGCCAGTCTAATGGAACTTCCAACTGTTAGGCCTTAGGGCTTGCCTGAATTGAAGGTTTATCACGTTTATACTTAACATGTTTCCTTTGGAATGTTCCCTTATATATTAAATAGAAATAATACAATAGAAACAAAACAGAACAAGACTTTATAGTACAGATAAAGAATAGCAAAAGCAGCTGGAAGGAGAATAATGGCAAAAATACTTTCAAAATAAAAGTCTAATGATTTGGGCGCCTGGGTGGCTCAGTTGGTTAGGCGACTGCCTTCAGCTCAGGTCATGATCCTGGAGTCCTGGGATCGAGTCCCGCATCAGGCTCCCAGCTCCACGGGGAGTCTGCTTCTCCCTCTGACCTTCTCCTCGCTCATGCTCTCTCTCACTGTCTCTCTCTTCTCTCAAATAAATAAATAAAATGTTTAAAAAAAAAAAAAAAGTCTAATGATTTTACACAAAGATCTAGATCTAATTGCAAAACAGTATACTTCCAAGCTAAAAGGGCTAATTATTCAACATAAACCATTTCCGTGATTTTATTCCTACTTTGTTGAGTGTGGGTTTTGTTTTGCTTTGTTTTGTTTCCAAATAGGGGTGTTTGAGTTGTCAAATGCTTTTTCTGCATCTGTTGAGATGATCATGTGATTTTTCCCCTTTATCAATATGCTGTATTGCATTGTTTGATTTTCATTTGTTAAGCCCACTTTGCATTCCTGTGATAATTCACACTCATTCACGGTGTATGATTCCTTTTATATGTTGGTGGATTTTTTTTTTTTTTTTGTTGGGGTTTTTTTTTTTTTTTTTTTTTTTTTTGCATCCATATTCACATGGGATGTTGATCTGTAGTTTTCTTGTCTTTTTCTAGTTTTGGTATCAGGGTAATTCTTTGTAGACTGAATTGGAAAGTGTTCCCTCCTATTTTGGGGAAGAGTTTGTGAACAGTTGGTGCTAATTCTTTAAATGTTTGGCAGAATTCACAAGTAAAGAAGCCATCCTTGTCTGAGTTTTGCTTTGTGGAAAGTTTTTTTTTTTTTTTTTTTTTTTTTTTAAGATATTCTTTATTTATTTGTCAAAGAGAGAGAGCCCAGGCAGGCAGAGTGGCAGGCAGAGGCAGAGGGAGAGAAGCAAGCTCCCTGCCGAGCAAGGAGCCCAATGTGGGACTTGATCCCAGGATGCTGGGATCATGACCTGAACTGAACTGACTAAGCCACCCTGGCATTCCTGTGGAAAGTTTTTAAAATTTTTAAAAATATTTTATTTATTTATTTGACAGAGAGAGAGATCACAAGTAGGCAGAGAGGCAGGCAGAGAGAGGAAGGGAAGCAGGCTCCCCACTAAGCAGAGAGCCCAATGCGGTACTTAATCCCAGGACCCTGGAATCATGACCTGAGCCGAAGGCAGAGGCTTTAACCCACTGAGCCACCTAGGCACCCAAGTTTTTAAATTATAAATTCAATCTTTTGTTAAACATTTAGTCAGATATTCTATTTATACTTGAGTCAGTTTCAGTAGTTTGTGTCTTTATAGAAAAGAGTCTGTTTCATCTGTTATTTAATTTGTTGATATGCAATTGTTTATAATATTCCCTATCCTCCTTATATCTGTAAGACCAGCAGTAACTTGTCCTCTTCTTCCTTTCCTGATTTTAGTAATTTCAGTATTCTTTTTTTTTTTTTTAAAGATTTTGTTTATTTATTTGACAGAGAGAGATCACAAGCAGGCAGAGAGGCAGGCAGAGAGAGAGGAGGAAGCAGGCTCCCCACTGAGCAGAGAGCCCGACGCGGGGCTCCATCCCAGGACCCTGGGATCATGACCTGAGCTGAAGGCAGAGGCTTTAACCCACTGAGCCACCCAGGCGCCCCTCAACATTCTTTCTTATGTCGTCAGTAAAGCTTTGTCAATTTTGTTGAACTTTTCAAAGGGCCAATATTTGGTTTTGTGAATTTTTCTCTATTGTTTTCCTATTCCCCAATTCATTTATTTCCTCTCCAAGATTTATTACTTCCTTTGCTTGCTCTAGTTTGCTCTTTTTCTACTATGATGAAAGGTTAGGGGTGCCTGGGTGGCTCATATGGGTTAAAGCCTCTACCTTCGGCTCAGGCCATGATCCCAGGGTCCTGGGATTGAGCCCTGCATCGGGCTCTCTGCTCAGTGGGAAGCCTGCTTCCCACTCCTTCTCTGCCTGCCTCTCTGCCTACTTGTGATCTCTGTCTGTCAAATAAATAAATAAAATCTTAAAAAAAAAGATTATTGACTTGAGATCTTTCTTCCTTTTAAAATGTAGGCATTTATAGCTTAAATTTCTGCCTGCAGGTTTTGCTGTATCCAATAAGTTTTAGTATATTGAGTTTTCATTTTCATTCATCTTAATGTATTTTCAAAGTTCTGTTGGAATTTCTTCTTTGACCCACTGACTATTAAAGACTATGTTTTTTAATTTCCATAAAATTTGAAAATCCCAAATTTCCTTTAATTATGGATTTCTAATTTCATTCCAGTATGTTTGGAGAACATACTGTCTATGATTTTAATGCTTTCAAATTTACTGATGATTCTTTTATGACCTAACATATGTACTCTCCTGGAAAATGCTTCATGTGCACCTGAGAAGAATGTGTATTCTGCTGTTGGGTGGTATATTCTAGATATGTTAGGTGTAATAGGTATATAGTATTGTTCAAGTCTTCCTTTTGTTGATCTCCTCTGTAGTTGTTTCCTATCATTTTATATCCAATTGCCTGTAGTATTTTTTTTTTCTTAAAATAGCTTGAGAGATTTCTTTTTGATGTCTAAACCCTGTTACACTCATCAGTAAGGAATTATGTAAAGGCACATGCCTACAATTGAATTCTTTAAGGTCATTAAAACAACATTCTGGAAAAATTAAGATATAGGGAAAAGTTAGAATACACCCTTACATGAAGTAGGCGGACTACAGTATATACTATTTGATTCCAATTTTAAAAAGACTGTAAAGAAACTTCAAAAATCAGGAATGATTTGCTCCGGGTAAATAAGGCAATAATGTCCTAACCTATTGCTTCCAATCTTGTCCAGGAGTAGTAAGCACAGAGTAGCAGGTAAGGTTTTAGAATTAGGTTCTGTGACACAGAATTCCAGTTCTGCCATTAAGTAACTATGTGATGTTTGCATACAATTTTCCAAGCAGGGGCTAATAACAGTACCTATACCAAATGCCGGTTAGGAGGATTAAATAAGCTAGTCCATGTTAAACTCATAAAACGTGTCTACCATGTAAGTGCTTAGTAAATGTTCATTATTACTATCCACCTACAATCCATTCTCCATACCACCATGTAAAGGTCACTCCTTTGTTAAAACCCTCCACAGGCTTCCTGTCTCACTTAGAAAACAAAACAAAACAAAATCGGTCTCCTTACCCCTACATTAGAAATTCCTGTTTGAGCTGATCCATTTGCCATTTAGATCTCTTCATTAGATCTCCAGACACACTGCCTTCTTTGAGACCTTGAAACACTTCTGCTTGTTTTTGACTTACGTATTTGGATTGTTTATCTTGCCTGGAATAATTTTCACAGAAAAACTTTGTCATTCAGAAGTCAAATTTACTTTCCTTAGAGAAGCTTCTTGGACTACTATGAATTAGCAACCCAGTCACTCTCTGTAGCATAACATTTTCTACATGACACTATCAATATATTAAACATTTTTTTCCTCCCTACTTGTTTTCTGTCTCCTTTAAGTAATTAAAGTTTTCTGTCTCTAAGTAATTAATATTACTTCCATTACAAAATTAATTTCATGGGTATTTAGGTAGTGTTTTAGGATAGTACATGGTATTCTATATTTGGTCTCAGTTCAAATTCAGCTACTGTGGAGAACCAGCTGTATGCCTTTGGGCAAATTTCTTATTCTTCCTGCTTCCTCAAAAGGGAATACTATTTATTTCACAAAGTATGGCAGAAGTTTAAATCACACAACATAGGTAAATGCACTTCAGCACTAAATGAAATTTTCCTAACATTACAAATAAACCCTAACCAAATACAAATCAAAACCACAATGAGATACCACCTCACAAACCGAATGGCTAAAATTAACAATTCAGAACACACAGATGTTGCTAAGGATGTGGAGAAAGGGAGACCCTCCTACACGATTTGTGGGAATGCAAGCTGGTGTAGCCACTCTGGAAAACAGTATGGAGGTTCCTCAAAAAGTTGAAAATACAGCTACCCTACTAACCAGCAATTGCACTACTGGGTATTTACCCCAAGATGCAAATGTAGTGATCTGAAGGGGCACTGCACCCCAATGTTTATAGCAGCAATGTCCACAATGGCCAAACTATGGAAAGAACCTAGACGTCCATCAACAGAAGAATGGATAAAGGGGATGTGGTATGTATATATACAATGGAATACTACTCAGCCACCCAAGGGGAAAAAAAAATGAAATCTTGCCATTTGCAAAGAGGTGGATGGAACTAGAGGGTATTATATGAAGCGAAGAAACAAAGATAATTATCATGATCTCATATGTGGATTTTAAGAAACAAAATGGGATCCTAGGGGAAGGGAAGGGGGGAAAACCAAGATGAAATCAGAGAGGGAGACAAAACACAAGATACTTTTAATCATAGGAAACAAACTAAGGGTTGTTGCGGGGGGAGCAGGGCAGGTGAAGGGATAACTGGGTGATGGACATTAAAAAAGGCAGGTGATGTAATGAGCACTAGGTGTTGTATACAACTAATGAATGACCTCTACCTCTGAAACCAGTAATACATTATATGTGAATTAATTGAATTTACATAAAAAGACATCATACATTAAAAAACAAACAAACAAACAAACAAACAAACAAACCTAAGGGCTCCTTAACAAGGTCTCTAGCTCTCCACCTACCCCTCAAATGCCTCGGTGTGGTTGCCCTAGCCTCTCTGCCTTCACCTCTGTAGAACGCCGGGATAGCCGGAGAGAGGGCGGGAACAAGAGACAGCGCACGCATTTCCGCCCCCGCGTCTCTCTCCGCCAATCGGCTTCTGATGCCCCACCCCTTCCGCTCTAGGGAAAACCAGCTCCTAGAGCGTCTTCCGGCGGGAGCTGTGCCTCTCCTTATCATGGTGAGTTGGCTGCGGGTGTGAGGGGTTCTGTCCTAGGTGATTCGTCTTATCTTCTTTCATCCCATTGCGGCCTTGACAGGCCTCAGCTGCCCAGAGGTGAGGTCCTGGGAGTCGTGCTTGGCTCCCCACATCCCACAGGAGAAGCGGTGACGGCGGAAGCATTTTCCCCCCAGAGCTGATTCCCTCAGTCCCCTTCACCCGGTTGGTTAGATGCTGGGGATGCCGGCCCTGCTCGGAGCCGAGCTTTCACTTTTTAGCGAGCTTATGACTTCTCCCTTGCCGAGATTTACTTCATACCGAGATTTACTTCATACGGAGCTAAAAGTCTTGGCCGGCGTCAGCGTCTACACCCACGAAGGCTCTGAAAACAAGTCCACAGCGACAGCGACCGTAATTAGTGATGCTGACACGGGGGACAATACCGTTGGCGTTAATAAAGAGGGTTATGAGCGGGTTGTTGAGGTGAACGCCCCACACTGCGACCTGGCTTTATGGAGTGCCAGATAGCCTGACACGGCAGCGACGTTCAGAAGGCCAGTGACTGGAGAATGTCCAGGTGTTGGTAGAGCACCTTTGTTGCCTGTTTCTTCCTACTTTTGTAGAGCCCAGTATACCTTACGGTTTCGGGGATATGATGTTGAGCCTAAAGTTTTTTAGAGAAATTATTCTTTTTATGCTTTTACAGATCAGATGTATAGCTCTCCGAATCATATCAAAAGATAAGTTGATTGTAATTTTAGCGCAAAAGAGGTACCATTTTATCATAGAAGTTAATGGATCTCTTATTGATGGCCTACGTGTGAGAACAGGATCACGTTTCAGTTCCTAAGCCATTGTCACTCTAGTAGGTTTTTTTCCTTGAGTGGATATGGTCAAGAAAAATGTCCTATTTATGCTTTCTTTTTCTTTTGTAAATTTTCTGTAATCCGGATTTTGCACACAGAAAGTGGGTAAAAAGCCAGTTGGGGGGGGGGGGGCTGACCAAATAGCCTTCCAGCTACTTTCTTCAAAATATTCACCACTGTGTAGCCAGAATTAAATTTCTAAAATTGGGGACCATGGCACTCCCTTGCTCCCTTGCATAACCACCCCCGCCATCCACCCCCACCCACCCACCGCCCAACCACTCACACAGTCCTCAAGATAAAGTCCTATTTGGCATGGCATACGAAGCTATCTGTTGTCAAGCTGCTGCTGCTGCTGCTGCTTTTTGGGGGAGAGGGGGCCAAGCTTCTTTATAGCCTCTTATTTCACATACATACATTCATATTCAGTCAAAGTGAACACCTTGCACATGATGCTCTCAGGATTAGGCCTTTGCTCCTAATTTGTATATGCTGTTCTATCTGCCAAAACCAGTCCTCTCCTACCCCTCATCCTTATCAGTATAACCCTTAAACGCCCTTTAGTCTCTCATGAGCCTTCCTGCCCACCGGTGTCTCAAGATCCTGTTAGGTGCCTCCTTTGTGCTTGTGATATCTTGGTGTTATTTATCAATAACATATGTAGCCCGTACCAGACTATGTTAAAATTGTGTATTTACTTGTCTTTCTTACTTCCTAGACTGTAAGCTCTTTGAGAGCAGGACCTCTGTGTTCACTCTGGTATTCCCAGAGCCTTGTCCCTGGCTCAGAGAGGAGGTTTTCAATAAATACCTGTTTTATAAAACACCAAATAAATAGCTATGGCACTAAGTTTTTGTGCTTGAAACGTTAATAATACAGAAAAATAGTAGCATTTAAAGTTTATTTTAAAAGTTTTGGAGAAGAAAGGGTTTTCGAGTCCCTCTTGTTAAGGTGTTACATGCAACGCACAATGCTATCTTAGAAAATGTAAAGGAAATACAGCCCTTGTCATTAGTGATGTTACTAAAAAAATTGACTTAAAATGCATGATGATAGGGTGAGGAAGGCTGTCCTCTGGTTAATTACAAAGCAAGTGGCATAAAGAACAGTATAGTTTGGAATAATCTAGGAAGGCTTCACATAGAAGGTCAGCCATGAAACAGTATTTTCTCCCTACTCTATTACTCTTACTCTTACTATTCATTACTCTCATTCGGTTGAGAAAACAGAGGTCAAGTAATTTGTTAAGTATTACAGGGCTGTTAGAGCTTGGTTAGACAAGTCTGGCCTTTTCACTCTAGAGTGATATGATCATTAGGCCAGGGGTACACTAGTTTAGTTGGAGTTGATTCCCTGTGTGGAGCAAGAGATTAAACTGGAAAGAAACAGACTACATGATTGAAAGCATTGAATTTCAGGTTGCAAAATTAAGAGTTTATCATGATAGCAATGGAGGGCCAATATAATTTTGAAAAGTGACATGAACATTAGGATTTTTGTGGGTTTTTACTTCTTTTAACCAATATCAGAATGGCATCAGAAACGGCATTCTACCTTTTAGAAACCTTATTTTCTCAACCTGAAACTTAAAGTAACTTAAATCATTTAAAGTGGGATGAAGTTAGAAGATATCCAGGGATAACAGTATTAAGCAGAATTTATCTTTGGGACCAAATATCCCACACATAATTCATTAAGAATGGAATATATTTATTAATTGACCATTCATTAGCATCTCAGATGAAAACAGCATATTGTTCCTTCTCAACTGAATTAGCTTAGCAAAGCTTTAGGGTTACACACACACACACTGGTCTTTATTTGGATAGCAAAAATTAGTAACACTTTTTTCTAATGCTTTATTTTTATATTTACTTTTTAAGATTTTATTTATTTATTTGATAGAGATAGCAAGAGAGGGAGCACAAGCAGGGGGAGTGGGAGAGGGAGAAGCAGGCTTCTTGCTGAGCAGGGAACCTGACTCACGGCTCAATCCCAGGACCCTGGGATTATGACCTGAGCACAAGGCAGATGCTTCATGACTGAGCCACCCAGGTGCCCCTATTTTTATATTTTAAAGTATGTTTTACTTAAATTTTTTTTATTATGGAAATTTGCAAAAACAGGAAAGAAAGTAGAAAGAAATTCTACTGAGTATAATATAATAAGCGCCCATGTAGCCATCCCTTGGCCTCAACAATGATGAACATTCTGGTTTTAAATGCCAGATTTCTAATGTTCAACTTTATCTTCTGCCTTTTCTGAGTTTCATCTAATGAAACTAATGACATGTCTGAGCTTTGAAGAAATGGGATATACCTTTTTTATAGCTACTGAGATGTTCCTACTATTACTTAGGAAAATCAGACCTGTGCTGGAGTTGGATCTGAAAGTTTTCCTCATTTTTTATCTGTTGACACCCAGTTCCATGGCTTTCTGTGGAATTTAAGTGTTTAAGTCAAATTGGCCAACAGTAGTGAGGTAGAAATAGTTGTTATGGTGATTGTGGCCTTACTATCTAGGAAAGCATTTTGCTAAAATTAAAATCCAAATAAATATTTAAGTGCATGGCACTTAGCAATCAAGTTATTATATATGACCCGCTGATAATTGTGAAAGATTTTTTTCCCTAGAAACAATACATAGCTTTTGAAATAACAATTAAAATTCTTTTTTTCCCAGTTTATTTTCTCTCTGTAGGATTTTCTTTATTTTTGTCTGTTGTTGAGTATTATAGTCCCAAAATAGTAAAATTGATCAGTTTTTTCCTTTACAGCTTCTTGGTTTTATATCCTATTATGAAAAGTCTTTTCCAACTCCAAGATTATAAAATTGTGCATCCATAAATTTCTTCAAGTATTCAGTAGTTTTGTATTTTAGTTTTAACATAATAAAAAATTAGAGTAAGAAATATAGTAAAGATCCAACGTTACCTTTTCCAAAAACCATTTATTGGGTAACTCATATTTTCTCCTGCTGATGTTGGATATTGACTTAATCAAGCTAATTTCCCATATATACTTAAATTATCTTTTATTCTAAGATTTCATAAGCTTGAGTGGCAGATTCCTCTTTAGTCTCCACTTACATTTCTTCTCTTGTCAGTAACCCCACTATCATGCCCTTTCTCTGATGGTCCCATACGGTGTTCTAGCAAGGACTGCGGAGACTAGTGAGGATGTCTCTTGACTTTGAATGCTTAAGAGAGAACCTCAGAGATTTTACTATAATAATAGTTTCCAAACTTTTCACATATAAAACTTCTATTAAGTTAATTGTAGTATTTTATTTCCAGTAGGGCTATCTGGCAAATGGTTTGATTTTATGGTTCAAAATAATCTAAAATCCATTTAAAAATAGAATTGTGTAGCCAGGAGCTAAAATGCCTGGGTTTGGGGGCACCTGGGTGGCTTAGTCGGTTAAGTGTCTGCCTTCAGCTGGGGTCATGATCCCAGGGTTCTGGGAGTCTGGGAGTCTGCTTCTCCCTCTTCCTCTGCTGTTACCCCTGCTTGTCCTCTCTCATTCGCTCTCAAATAAATAAGTAAATAAATAAATAAAATCCTTAAAAAAATAAAATGGCTGGGTTTGAATTTCTGCTCCGCCATTTGTTAGCATTGTGCACTTGGACAATTAAAGATTGTTTCCAGGGTCTCCTGGGTGGCTTAGTGGGTTAAGCCTCTGCCTTCAGCTCAGGTCATGATCTTAGGGTCCTGGGATTGGGTCCTCCATCGGGCTTTCTGCTTGGTGAGGAGCCTGCTTCCCCCTCTCTCTCTGCCTGGCTCTCTGCCTTCTTGAGATCTCTCTCTCTGTCAAAAAATAAAAATCTTCAAAAAAAAAAAAAAGATTGTTTCCATCTCATAGATAATTGTGAGAAATAGATAAATATGCATAAGTATCTAGAATAATTGCTTGCCACATATTGAGCATTCAGTAAATGTTAGTTGTTACTATTGTATTACATCACAGGATATGAAAAAGATTAGATGCTTCAATGTTGATTTGTTTATTTTTTTGTTTATTTTTAAAGGGGACAATTCATCTCTTTAGAAAACCACAAAGATCTTTTTTTGGCAAGTTATTACAGGAATTTAGACTTGTAGCAGCAGACCGAAGGGTAAGTTATCTTTATTAACTCTAATCACTGTACTGACAACATTATGACATTGAAAAAGATAATTTTTAAGGCATTATAGAAATTACTTGTGATCCCACCATACACCTTTTGTTTTTAAGTAAACGCTCGCCCAACATGGGGCTTGAACTCACAACCCCAAGGTTAAGAGTTGCATACTCCACCAACTGAGCCAGCCAGGTGCTCCATGCCAACTGTTTTCATTTTTTGTTGTTGTTGTTGTTGGATAAGCAATTTTTTTTTTAAAGTAATCTCTGTGCCCAACATGGGGCTTGAACTCACTACACCAACATCAAGTAGCATGCTCTATTGACAGTGAGCCAGCATTTTAATGGAAAATTAAATTACATTGTAAATTTAATGTAAATTGTAATGTAAAAATTACTTTGATACGTAGTTATATTGCTTGGGAGGAAGCTAGGCTTTGGTTAAGATTTTTATTCTAATTCTAATGAGTTATAAAGAAAAATTATTTTACTATTGCCTTTTGTTACTTTTTTTTTACAAAGTTAATGGATGTAGTTTAAAGCCATGTTTTCTCATTTTTGGTGTAAGGAAGGAAAAACAACTTATGCTTTGAGGTCATGAATTCAAGCCCCACCCATGTTGGGCAAAGAGCTCACATTTAAAAAAAAAAGATAAATGGTATCCTTTTTGGTGACCAATATAGACCTTCTAGTTACTGTTCTATATTCATTGTTTTCATTATTATCTAAATTATACTATAAGCTCCCTGAAGACAGTGACTGAGTCTGTTTTGTTCACTTTTTAATAAAAGTACAAACTAAGTACCCAATAAATACATGATGAATTTTAAATAAACCTAGCTTCAGTGGAACATAAGTGTACCTATGACATTGGTCATGTATTATGTATGATACTAGATTAGAGGCTTTTGTTCTTTGTTTCTTATCACTATATTTCCTGTTGCTAAAACCTTGGAATATAGTCAGAACTGAGTAATTCTAGTATTTGAAAATAGTATCATGTCCTGGATGTTAAAGAGCCAAGAGTAGGAAATTCATCTGCTGCTTCTGTGTCTAGTCCACTTAGGATGATCTCTTGAGAACAGATAGATAGAACTTTATCATCTTGGTGGAAAACAACTACATTACAGAAGTAAACAGGAAATTCTTGAACCATAAGCTTTATTGAAGCACAATATACCACAGAATAGATAGTAGGAACAAAACTGGTATAAGAGCACCTGTGTTGTGCAGATACTGTCCATCATAATTTAAATCTTACAAGATGTGCCTAGCTCACCTCTCTTTACTACTACTCCTGTTTTGGTTCATGGTAATTCCTTACATCATGAGGAAAATCCCTACTTCTCAGTTCCTTACTTCCTTACCACAAATAATCTTGTCCTGCATCCCTTCCAATTGTCCACTCCTGTGACCATACCAACGCCATTATCATTCATAATTATATCTTCCCATTGTCTCAGTTTCAGTTATTTCACTCGTAGTCACCATCTCTTGTTATTCCAGTTCACTCCTTGTATTATCCCAATTCCAGTAATTCTTCAATCTTACTAGGATCTCCAATCCACTGACTATGCCGTATTTTCCCTGTTTTTCACCTCTTTTATCCTCATTTGCTTAATTATCCAATTTAGATTCTTTGGTCCATTATTACTGATTTCTTGCATATGTTTCAACTCCTTTGTGCCCTCCCACCCATCTGTAACTCTTCCTCTCATACTTCCATGGCAAATCCTTAACATCATTAAGTCAGCATTCCTGCTGTTCTGTACCTGCACCCAAGCAACTGAATGTAGCCTGAGAGAAACACAAAACCATGGTGACTGGTCTCACTTTAAATTCATGCCCAAGTGCGCCATTAGGCTGCCCATAGTATATCATTCAGTTCATTCAGTTTTCCATTTTTGTAGATGGCTATTTTATGCCATAGTCTTTCACTTCTGTCCTCAAACTTCCAAAATCTTTTTCATCCTCACTCTGACCTGTTGATCTTTCTTCCTGTTTCACTAAAGGAAAAGAAGTAATCAGAAAACACTTCCACATCCTGTCCTCTCCCAACATTCTGCCTTTGCTCCTGTTTCTATGAATTGGCTCTCTGCGCTTCTACTTGTTGCCTACTCAAAGACAAGCTTCCTACAGTTGTTCCTTCCTGCATCGTGAGCACATGCCGCATCTTCCACTTTGAACTACTGCCTCATTTCTCTGCTTCCTTTTATAGCAAAACTACTTAAACTAATTGTCTTTACTACCCATTCACTTTCTCTTCTCCTTGTCTCCACTAAACATATACCAGTCTGGTTGTAGCCCCCCACCAATCCACTGGAACAGCTTTAACAAAGTAACTGGTAAACACTGTGTTGCCAAAATCAATGGTCATCCTCATTTCCCATTTTACTTAACCTTCAATAACATTTAACAAAAATTTGTTACTTCTTCCTTAAAGCACTTTTTCATTTTGACTCTGAAATATCACTTTTGGTTTTCCTCCTACTTAGTTGGCCGTTGTTCATCACTTCCCTCTCATCTTCCTGATGTCTGAGTTTTAGAGAACACGTGCATTGTGCAGATACTCTCCGTCACTTAGAGCTAAGTGCTAAGCTCCAGCACTTAGAGCTCCAGCTTCTGTTGTTTCTGTTCATTACACCTAAGTGACGCTTTGCCACATGCTCATGACGTCATATTTACATCTCAGTCCATAACTTTTCCCCTCCTTCTAGATTCCTATACATATCATGGCTGTCTCAACATTTCCACTTGAATATCTAATAGGCATCTCAAATTTAATATGGTCAAATTTGAACTTTGATTTTTCTGTTCCTTCCTCACTAAATGGCCACTCTGTTCTTTTAGTGCACAGACCGAAAACCTTGGAGTCATTCTCCCTCTCTTTCTCTCATTCTTCATCCATTCTGTAAGTAAATCTTGCTGGTCTGTCTTCAATGTAACACACAGAATATGACTTTTTTAACACTTTCTTACCAACTTCAAAATCACCATTTCTCACATGGATTTCTGCAGTCACATTCTAAATGGTTTTCCTACTTCTGTCATTGCCCCTATTCAGTGTATTCTACAAAGAGAAGCCAAAATGATCTTTTAGAAATGAAAGCTAAGCTGCTTTCCATCTCGTTTGGAATAAATCCCATGTCTTTTATCTGAAACGCAAGAAATCCCTGATGGAGCCCTGGACTTCCTCTCGCCTCTCGTCTATCCGTCCTCAGCCAGGTCCTCTTCTATCTCAGGGCATTCACACTGTAGTTCCCGTTTTCTTTTCCCGATATCTGCATGCTTAGCACCTTTGCCTCTGTAAAATTTCTGGTTACATGTTACCTTACCAAGGGGATCTTTTTGACCACCTTGTGTGGCAGAGCACCCTTTCCATGTCTCCCATTACGGTGTTCTTACCGTACTTTATTTTTCCTTTGTAGCACTTACACCACCTGACCTTGCATATTTGCTAATTGTCTGTCACTCCTGTATCTCCTGTGCCTGGAAAAGCATCTTTTGCGAAATAGGTACTCAAGTATTTGTTGATAAATAACATGATTCCTCAGTAGAGCTGCAGAGAATGTCATTTTCAAATTACATGCCTTATCCTCCTTTTCTGACTATTCTTGAATCCCTATTCTGACTAGAGCCTGTGTCCAGTCACTTCATTAATGTCCTCACTATTAGAGTCCCTTGTCCCATTAACCTATCATATCAGCTCGGTCTCTGACATCGCTATCTCACCTGCTCCTCTGGTTTTGCTCCTGGGGGTAGAGGAAGATGCAGAATGCTGTCTACCCTAAATTCATGGTGGCCATTCTTGTTCTCCTCTGATGATTCAGATGTATGCTCACTAGAACTGCTGTTCTGCACATTCTCCTCTGGATTTAAGTTTCCAGTCCTATTTATTCTACCACATCCCTTAATTTTAGAAAGTGGCCTTGTTTCTTCTTTTCTAGAGATGTAGAGGCTAGTAGCTCTGTGCTGCTTTGCTGTCACTTCTTTCTAGTCACAGTTTCTCTGTCCCTTCAGTCAACCTTTTTACCCTTCTCACCTTTCTCAGAGAAGGTGTTCTTCATCCTAAATCTATACTCTGCATCTGCATTCTAAAGCCATCCTATCCCACACTTGACCTTTGGAATTATATCTTTAATTTTAACACCTTCAGTGAAAACTCCCTTTTCACTAATTTCCTTCACTTCTACTTTCACACAATTATAGGTCTCCCTTTGTAGGGAGTACAGTGGAATAAAAGTTTTAAAACACTTCACTTGATCTTTTATTCTTAGAATGCCCTTTCTGCTTCCTCTGACAAAATCCTCACTACTTGCATGGTGTATCTCAGGTCTACCAACTTCTAACCCATGGTATAGTCTTTTCCCCTTTTGCAGTCCTATTTCATATGACTTATTTGGTAAATAAGTAAGTGGAGCCCTTTTTGGTGAGAGAGGAAGAATAACTTATTTTGATATAATTTCAAGCTTATGGAAAAGTCACAAGATTAGTGTAAGGAACTCCTCTAAGCCCTTTACTCAGATTCACCAGTTGCTTTATATTTTGCCCCCTCTGCTATTGTTGTCTCTACGTATAGAAAGAAAATGATATTAAACTATATGCCTATTTTTCTCAACTGTTTGAGAGTTTATATGGCAGAATGTTCTTCTCTTGAGTTTGTCCTCTAGAACTACCTTTTTTTTAATTAATAAAATAATTTGGTTGATGGTAATTTTTGTAGATATAAGAAATATGACCTTTTGAAGGAATTTGTGCTTATTCCTTTGTTGAGTGGGAATTGCAGCAACTTGAACAGACCCAGTGAAGTTTATCAGCACTATGCAAATAAGAATGATTTTGTTTTTCACAGTCCTGGAAGATACTGCTCTTTGGTGCAATAAACTTAACATGTACTGGCTTCCTGCTTATGTGGTGCAGCTCCACTAACAGTATAGGTATGTCACCTTTCTAATTTTGTTGGAGTTAATCATTAGTTTCATATATATTGTTCTGATTTTTTTTTAAAGATTTATTTTTATTTATTTATTTATTTGACAGACAGAGATCACAAGTGGGCAGAAAGGCAGGCAGAGAGAGAGGGGGAAGCAGGCTCCCTGCTGAGCAGAGCCCCCCGATGCAGGCCTCGGTCCCAGGACCCTGGGATCATGACCTGAGCCTAAGGCAGAGGCTTTAACCCACTGAGCTACCCAGGTTCCCCTATTGTTCTGATTTTAAATAAAGATATATCTTTCTTTATGTGGAATATATTATCCTGAAATATAACTCAAGATTTATGAGAGACTCTATGTAAAAATGCCTTGTAAAGTTTGGTTCAGTTGTTAGCATTATCATTTTAAATGAGCTAATCATTTTTTTAAATAGCTTTAAATTTACTTGAAAGACTGATTCCTTTATAACGTGATAGATTAGCCATTCAATTTATGCCGTGTCTAAGTAAGATTTTGAGGTTTATATTTCTTGGATTTTCCTTGAAAAGGGAAGTCTATAATATTTTTCTTGTTTCTTGACCTATGCTTTTTAAATTTTTTATGTTATTTATTTATTTTTATTTTTGAAGAGAGAGAGTATGAGTGAGGGGAGGGGCAGAAAGAGAGGGAGAGAGAAAATTCCAAGCAGGCTCCACACTCAGTGCGGACCCTGATGTGGGGCTCCATCCCACAACCCTGACATCATGACCTGAATAGAAATCAAGAGCCAGACGCCTAACCAACTGAGCCACCGAGGTGCCTCATTTCTTGACCGCTTATGTTTTATGTACCGTTGTTTTCATCGTGCTATTTAAAGAATATATATATATTTTTTTAAGATTTTATTTATTTATTTGACAGAGAGTGATCACAAGTAGGCAGAGAGGCAGGCAGAGAGAGAGAAGGGGGGGAAGCAGGCTCCCTGCTGAGCAGAGAGCCCAATATGGGACTCAGTCCCAGGACCCTGAGATCATGACCCGAACCGAAGGCAGAGGCTTAACCCACTGAGCCACCCAGGTGCCCCAAGAATATATTTAAAATAGTACTTAGACGACAAGAAGGAAAAAAAAACCAAAACAATCATAGCACTTTTGGGTATGTGCTGCTTCCTTTGTCCTGATGGCAAAATCAGGTTCTAGTGCAAGCTTTCACACTTGCCAAACTTTTTTTTTTTTTTTTTTTTAATTACTAGGCTCTAATGCTGGGCTTGAACTCACAACCTTGAGATCAAGAGTCCACTACTCTATCAACCATGCTAGTCAGAAGTCTCTGTATTTACTACATTTGGCTACGAATATTAATCTAGGTAATTGCCAACATGTAAGGTCAATTAGTGACTCAGGTTTTCTTGCTAATGGATACTCCTGGTATGAACCATCATGGATTCAGCAACATTTTAATCACTTGTTCTGTTGTTTTGCAGCTTTAACTGCCTATACGTACTTGACCATTTTTGATCTTTTTAGGTAAGTTTTTAAAAGTCTCTTTACTATTTTGAATCTAAGGAATTTGTTGCACTGAATTTTGTTTTCTGTGCCTAAAGAAAAGTAATCTGTGAAATAAGTAAGATTATCAACATAGAACATATATACAAACAGTACTATTAGAAGATATACTGGAAGAAAATATCCCATTTATAGAGGAACAGAGAAAGTAATACCTAGGCATTAGATCATATGCCTTGGGTGCCTACCTATAGGTGAGTCACCTGTGGCCAGGATCAGGGTCAAGTAAGAACATACCATGTAGGTGGGCATTAATAACTAAGAAGTGATCAATTGTGAATAGGGAGACACCCTTTTGGCTCCCTGCTTTATAGGACCTTTCATATCACTATGTTAGGTTGCAAGATACTTGATGTCTTCAGGGTCCATGCCATAGGAGTATAAATATGTCTTTTCATCACTTCTGTAACTAAATCTACTTGACTCATCTAAAGCATACAGTTACCACCTGGATTTCACACTGTAGTAAGTTGTTTTAGAGTGAATCTTCACTGTACTCGGAAAATGAACATAATTTTATCCTATCCAGAATATTGTTGTTATTAATATTTAGTTTAACTTTTAACAAAGATTAGAGATTATCAGAGTTAAAGTTTATTGTCTGTGGCTAAAATAAAATATGTTACCTTTATTATTATTGTGTCACTTTTGCTTTCTCAGTTACGGAAACCATTTAGGGTAGATAACTTACTGAGTAGAGAAAGTATGGGTTTAGGTTCTATTTACTGACTTGATGGATCATGACTTTTTTCAGTTTCTCTGTATGTTAAAACTCATATATTAGGATGCTTGTGGTGATTAGATTACAGTTTATTAGAATAATTTATTAATTTAGTGTGAAAACACTGATAAATTTCAGCCAACTTAGGAATTCCAAAATCTCAATTTCTTTTTGTGTGTTCTCCTCTTGTTGTAGTTCTAAAGCTAAATTTATTTTCCTTTTTACTTAGTTTAATGACATGTTTGATAAGTTACTGGGTAATGATGAGGAAACCTAGCCCTGTCTATTCATTTGGGTAAGTTCAAGTCGTTTTATTTTTTGCTAACTTACTGCTATTAAAGTGGTAGTTATTATCAGGCAGTAAAGAGCTAGCTAGAGTGTTTGTAGAGAAGAAATGCTGTCTGCGTAGTGGGATGGGGGTCAAATAGTGAAAGTAGATTTAAAAAGATATCTTCCACAGGATTCTCGATAAGGAACATGAACATGTAAATTTAAATTATATTAAAATAAAATGTTCACATTAAGTTTTTTTCTGTTTTATAAAACAAATATTAACATAAAATGTTCACATTAAGTTCTTTAATATTTTGGTAATCCCTTAAGTTTTAGAGAAGGTACAAAGGATTCTCCTCTAGGTGTGTCCTGTAAATGTTAGAGTAAATGTGATATATTTTATCATTAATGTAGTGGTAGAGATGTATTTTTATCTTAAGACTGGATTTGTGATAGCAATAGACTAACAATTTGAGGTTTTGTTTCTGTAGTTTTAGAAATTACTAAAAGTTGGAAGTTGGAAGATAATCTTTTGTGTTAGAGGTTTTTATTAATGTATTAGAAAAAGTGAGCTCCTTTTTGGATTCCAGGAAAAAACTTGACAGAAGAATTTCTTTTTAAGTTTGTGGAGGGTTTTACTGTGATAAAATATATGTAACATAAAAGGTAACATTTTAACCATTTTCAAGTGTACAGTTCAGTGGCATTAAGTACCTTCACATTGTTCTGTGAGCACTGCTACTATTTCCAGAAATATTTCCCCTTCCGAAACAGAAACTCTGTACCCATTAAACAATAACTCCCTGTTCCCCTATCTCTCAGACCTTGGCAAGTGCCATTTTACTTTCTGTGTTTATGAATTTGCCTGTTCTGGTTATTCATATAAATGGAATCACACAATATTTATCTTCTGAGTATGGCCTATTTTACTTAATGTTTACAAATTTCATCTGTGGTTATAGCATATGTCAGAATTTCATTACTTTCTAAAGCGGAATTATTTTCTATTGTATGTATATATGATGTTTTGTTTATTCTTCTTTTGATGGGCATTTGGTTTGTTTTCACCTTTGGGCTATTGTAAGTAATGCTTTTATAAACATTGGTGTACAAGGATCTCTTTGAATCCCTGCTTTCAGCTCTTTTTGGTGTATACTGATTCCAGGATCATACTCTGTGATTCCATCTTTAACTTTTTGAGGAACCACTGTACCCAGCAGCAGCACCATTTTCCATTCCTGCCAGCATGCTTACCAACACTTGTCATTTTTTTTTTTTTAATTTTTAAAAATCCCCATAGAGTTAACATACAGTGTTATATTAGTTTCAGGTATACAATGTAGTGATTCATAATTCTATACATTACTAAGTGCTCATCACAATAAGTGTACTCTTAATCCCCTTCACCTATTTCAGCCATCCCCCCACCCAACCTCCCCTCTGATAACTACCTATTCTCCGTAGTTAAGAGTCTGGTTTTTGGCTTGTCTCTTTTTTTATTTTGTTTTGTTTCTTAAATTCCACATATGAGTGAGATTACGTGGTACTTGTCTTTCTCTGACTTACTTCATTTAGCATCATACCCTCGAGATCCATCTATGTTGTTGCAGATGGCAAGATTTCATTCTTTCTATGTTTGATTAATATTCCATATATATATATAGTTTTTATCCATTCGTCTGTTGATGGGCATTTGGGCTACTTCCATATTTTGACTATTGTAAACAATGCTACATTAATCATAGGGGTGCACATACCTTTTCAAATTAGTATTTCTGTGTTCTTTGAGTAAATACCCAGTAGTGGGATTACCAGATCATACGGTCATTCTATTTTTAATTTTTTAAGGAACTTCCATACTGTTTTCCATAGTGGCTGCACCACTTTGCATTCCCACCAACAGTGCACGAGGGTTCCTTTTTCTCTACAACCTCACCAATACCGGTTGTTTCTTATATTTTTTATTTTACCCATTCTGACAGGTTTTAGGTAATATCTCATTGTGGTTTTGATTTGCATTGCCTTGATGATAAATGGTGTGGAGCATCTCTTCATGTGTCTATTGCCATCTGTATGTCTTCTTTGGAGAAATGTCTGTTCGTGTCTTCTGTTCATTTTTAATTCGATTTTTTTTTTATTAAGTAGTATAAGTTCTTTATATATTTTGGATACTAACCCCTTATCAGATATATCATTTGCAAATATCTTCTCCCATTGAAAGAAGAATTTAACTTTGGCAAATAAACTTTTGAACCAAAATTAGTCTTTTGAACAAAATCAGGTTTTATTTACGTAAACAAGGAGGCAAAGTAAACATGAAATTTTAATGCAAAGAGAAGATATTCAAAAGTGTCACTGAGATTTGATACACTTGGACTGTTACTATGATAATTGGTTACAAGATACATATAGATACCTGTATATAGAAGTCTGTGAATCTGAGTTAAAGCTTTTGCTTGTAAGTGACAAAAATCCAACTCAAGCTAGTATGGGGAGAAAATGGGAACTCTTATAATTTTGTAATCAAAATGTGGGAAGACTGAAGTGACTGGCATAGGGACTAGTACACTCAGGCATTGTCTTTCTCTTCCCTCTCAGGCTGCTTTTCTCTGTATGTCAGGTTTAGTTTCTCAGACCACTTTTCCCTACCATCCTGGAATAACTCCTAGCAAGACCTTAACTGGAAACTTATTGTCTTCATTTTAGAGAAGGAAAACATTTTCCTCAACTCTAGTTAGGAAAATCATGAGAAAGAGGGGTGCCTGGGTGGCTCAGTCAGTTTAACATCTGCCTTCGGCTTAGGTCGTGATCCCAAGGTTCTGGGATCAAGCCCCACATCGAGCAGGGAGTCTGCTTCTCCTTCTGCCACTTCCCCTGCTTGTGTCCTTGCTCTCTCTCCCAAATAAATAAATTAATTTAATTTAATTAAATAAATTAAATTAAATTAAAATTAAATTAAAAATTAAATTAAATTAAAAAAAAATAAATTAAAGAGTCATGAGAAAGAACTATTGATTGGTTCAGCTTGAACAGTTATTAGTCTTTAGATTAGATATTATGGCCAGGAGACAAGATTAAGCAAGGACATGATGCTCCCATTTTGGCCTACTTAGAGTGAACAAGAAAGGAGGGAGCAATTAAACAATAAAATTAACCTCTGACTATAATTTCAGTCAGTCACATAGCTTGAAATATCATTTGTATTTAGTAATTTCAAACTCTAGTTCTTTAGCCCTGAGATCTGTCTTGTTTCAGACTGCCGCCTTTACAGCATCACATGGATGTATCTAATTGGTATCTTAAATATTGGCTAGAATTCTTGTTTTCTTCCCCTGAAACCTATTCCTCTCCAGTTTTCCCCATCTCAGTAAATACACCACCACTCAGTTGTTCAAGCAAAATCTTTTGTTATTTTCTCATTCCCCACATCTATCCATCAGCAGGTTACATCAGGGTAACCTACAAACACATCCAGAATCTGCCTCTCCCCCCATTTCTATCTCAACTACTAACTTCCTAATCAAGCTACCTTCATTTCTTGCCTTAATCCATCCTCCTAACTGCTTCTGCTCTTACCCCCTTGGCAGTCAGAATGTTCTTTTTTAAATCTGAGTCATACTTTAAGTCTCCTCCTTGAAACCACCCAGTTGTTTGTTGTCATACTTAGAATAAAATCCTGAGTCCTTTCTCTAATTTACAGAATTCTTATATAAACTGTTCTGTGCCGACTTCTCTTCAAGTTACCATTTTCATGCCCTCCATACCACACTTTTTTCCTGTAATTTGTATACAACTAATTTATTCCTGCATTAGGTTCTTTGTACAAGCTGTTGTCTTTCTTTAAAATGTTCTTCACATCACCTTTACAAGATGAGCTCCATCTTGTTATTCCAGTCCTAATATCACTAAATGCCAGTGTCATTAAGTGACTGGGCCCAATCTAAAATAGATTCTAAAATGAATCCTAGTTAGCCTCTTTTCACATCAGACTACTATAATTCTCTATATACAATTTACTAGAACTTATAAACTGTTATTCTTTCTCCCCCTTTAAAATACAAATTTCATGGTAGCAGGGCTATATCTCGTTCTGTCTTACATCCTTCTACAGTTCGGTGAATTTTATTTTATTTTATTTTTTTAAAGGTTTTATTTATTTATTTGACGGAGAGAGAGAGATCACAAGTAGGCAGAGAAGCAGGCAGAGGGGGAGGGGGAAACAGGTTCCCTGCTGAGCAGAGAGCCTGACGTGGGGCTCGATCCCAGGATCCTGGGATGAAGGCAGAGGCTTAACCCACTGAGCCACACAGGTGCCCCAGTGTTTGGTGACTTTTAATAAATGAATATACCTGTATAACTACTGTCTAGATCATGATATAAAACACCACAAGTCCTCCCCAAAAGTCTCCCTTTATTTTGAGTCTTAGTCCAAACCCAACAAAAGTAATCAGTGTTCTGACCACTATTCCTTGCAGATTGTTGTTGTCTGTTTTTGAAGGCACATAAATGGGATTACAGTGTATACTCTCCTCTAGCAGTAGTTCACTCTGGTCCATTGCTCTCATATTCCATTTTATGAATATACCATAATTTCTTTTTATGTTCAGCTGTTGAAGGGCACTTAGATGATCTTCAGCTTTTAGTTGTTATAAATAAAACTATTTATGAATATTCTTGTGCATGTCTTTTGGTGTACATGTTTATCCCTTTATGGTGGATACATATCTTTGAGTGAAGTTACTCAGTCATAGGATTTGCAGATGTTCATTGTTAGAAGATAAGAAAATACCAGTTCTCTTGAGTTTTACCAGTTTACTCTCCTACTGTCAATGTGTACAAGTTCTGGTTGTTTCATGCTTGTACCAACAGTTGATAATTGCCTTTTTTTTTTTTTTTTTTAAGCCGTTCTGGGGTGTGTAGATGTGTCTTGTGGTTTTAAATTATTTTCCTGATGACTAGTTGAATACTTTCTCATATTTTTTATTGATTTTTTTATATGCTTCTTAAATCATTCAGATTACCTACTTTGTGAAATGCTCATTAAAGTGTTTTACCCATTTTTAAATTGGATTATCTTTTTTCTTTTGTTATTGATATGTAAGAGTTCTTTATATATAAATATCTTTCCCATAAATGAAAAGTTTTTAATTTCAGTGATAAATTCAGTTTATCAGTCTTTTATGGTTAGTCCTTTTTGTGTACTTATCAAGAAATCTCGGCCACTCGTAGGTCATAAAGATACTCTGGTATTAGCCAGAGGTCTTGTTGTTTGACTTTTTACATTTAAGACCTGTAGTCAAACTGGAATTCATTTTTGTCTATGGGTTGAAGTAGAGGTTCAAGGCACATTTGTTTCTATCTAGTTTTTCAACTGATAAAACATATATTGGGAAAAAATTAATCCTTTTTCTACTGCTTTTTCTGCCTCTACCCTTTTCATAAATTAGGTGATTATGAATGTGTAATTCTATGTCTGGATTTTCTGTTCTGTTTAATCTTGCACATTTCTCTGTTCTTGCATTAGTACTATGCTGTGTTAACTATGATAGTTTTGAAATAAATCTTGACATTTGGCAGTATAAATCTTCCACCTTTGTTCTTCTTCAGATTATCTTTGCTTTCCTTCACTCTTTACATTTCCATATGCACTTTAATATCAGTTTATCAATTTCCACGAATAAGTTTGTTTCATGTACATACTGTTTTTATGCTTTTATAACTCATTCTTTTCACTTACATCTTTCCATGTCAATAAGTACATTTCTGTTATAAATTTTTTAAAGATTTATTTACTGATTTGAAAGAGAAAGAACATGCACTCAAGTAGGGGAAGGCACAGAGGGAGAGAATCTCCAAGCTGACTCTGCACTGAGCACAGAGCCCAATGTGGAGCTCAGTCTCACAACCCAGGAGATCATGACCTCAGCCAAAACCAAAAGTTGGAGGCTTAACTGTCTGTGCCACTCAGGCACCCCAGTTTCTGTTGTATTTTTAATTATATATATATGTTCTTTTGTTGATTTCAACATTTTTTCCTTTACAAACAGCAGTGTGATGCACATCCTTAATTATTTTATTATCTTTTCTGAAAATATGTAATTCCTCGAGAAAGTTCAAGCATTTATACATACCACAAATATTGAATGCCATTAAATTTATGTTGTGGAAAAAGGTAAGATGAATAGGACTACAGCCCCTGGCCTGCAGCTGACAGTTTAGGGATTATAAGACATATATGTAATTAACTGCAATTATGTGTAGCAGTGATAGACAGTATAATAAGTGGTTAAAATCATGAACTCTGGAGCTAGAGTGCCTAAGTTTGGAAACCTGACTCCTCCACTTGCTAGCTATATGACTCTAAACAGTTACTTTTCTTTTTTGTGTGTCAAGTTCCTTATCTCTTCTTTTCTAAAAAAGTGGATAAAGTAACCTTCCTAAGATGCTGGAAAGTTTAGAAGAGATAATATGGGGGTGCCTGGGTGGCTAAGTCAGTTAAGTATCTGACTTAGGCTCAGGTCATGATCTCAGGTTCCTGGGATTGAGCCCTGCCTCGGGCTCGACACCCTCTCCCTCTCCTGCTCCCTCTGATCATGTGCTCTCTCTCTCTCTCTCTCTCTCAAATAAATAAAATCTTTAAAAAGAGAGAGAGAGAGAGTGTTAAGCATTTATGTCTAACACAAGATGGGCCAATCCAGTGTTAGCTGTTAATTATGATAATAATTATTTCTAGAAAAATAAGAGCCATAATTGGGTCCTGGAATAGATGTTGTACAGATAGGCACTCTTTTTCTTAATCTGTGATGTTCTTTTTATCTTCATTCTAGAAAATCTGTAGTCTGTCCGAACAGTGTTTGGCTTATGGTAGGCACATTTGAAAATTGAGTAGTGAATAAATGAATGAAAATGTGTTCTGGAGATACTGGTTTATGAATTGTGCTGATCTAATTAATTTTCTGATTTCAGATTTGAAAGATTAGAAGTCTTAGCTGTATTTGCCTCCACAGTCTTGGCACAGTTGGGAGCTCTCTTTATATTAAAAGAAAGGTACATTTGTATACAATGTTACTGTCATTGTAAATTCTACATATGCCACCTTTGAGAACATGAATTCGTGAGACACTGGGTTGATTTGAAGATGAAATTAAGATGAACAGTACTGGAGTTTTGATAGTATGGCTTCCTAGTGTTTCAGACTTTTATCCCTTCTTTTCACTCTTCTTTTATTACTTAATTTTGATGCTACTAAATCCCGGGCAGGTGTGAAAGAAAGGGCTTCAGTCAGACATGTTTTAATGCTGAGTTACAAACCCACTGAAACAGGTTTTGTGGGGGGCCTGGATAGCTCAGTCGTTAAGCATCTGCCTTTGGCTCAGGTCATGATCCCAGAGTCCTGGGATCAGTCCCCATATTGGGCTCCCTGGTTGGCAGGAAGCCTGCTTTTCCCTTTCCTACTCCCCCTGCTTGTGTTCCCTCTCTCACTGTCTCTCTCTCTCTGTCAAATAAATAAAATCTTAAGAAAAAAGGAAGTTTTTTAGAGAAAATTGATATTACATATTAAGAATAATTTGTAAGTCTCTTTGCCTGATCTCTGCTAATAATCAGCAGTTGGATATCATATTAAAAGATTTTGTCCAGGACACCTGGCTTACTCAGTTGGAAGAGCGTGCAACTCTTGATCTTAGGGTCTTGAGTTTGAGCCCTATGTTGGATGTAGAAATTAATTAATTAATTAAAAAAATATTTTGTTCACTTATTGGATTAATTCTATATTTAATAAGGCTTTTTAATTTCATAATTTGTAGAACTAACCTAATACATTATTTCTTTCTTTTAGTGCAGAGCGCTTTTTGGAGCAGCCTGAGATACACACGTGAGATTTTGCTTTTGACATAATATATAACTATTATGTTTGATTCCCAGTTATTAAGTGGCATATTAGGAATAATGGTTACTTTAGCCAATGTCAGAGTTCAGAGTGTGGCAATATACATTTCACAGATACTTCACAAACAAAATTCCCAAATCCCAAGACAGCTTCTCACCCTTAACTATTCCTAAGCTCTTTCGTTTTATATTACACAAGAAAACCTTTGTACTCTGGCTTTAGGTCCCTCATTATTTCCAGGCCTAGGTCAACACACTAAACGAGCCCCATTGAGTTGCTATAATTTAAATTTTGATGCCCAAAAATCTTTTAGGAGCATCTTTAGAAAAGAGAATTGTTATTATCTACTACACATAATTGCCAAATATATGGACTTATCTATTTGATCAGTTTAATTCAGGATATCCTGACCTGTCTAGTATAATATAAACCAAAAACCATTGCATTTATATGGATTTATAACAGCAGATACCTGTGAGAAGATACTGTTAATGCTAAGAATCAGTTTTGGTTCTATGTAAGATGGAGCAATAGGACATGGATTATGGAGCTTGAAAGCAAGTTCAGAATGTGGCTCTGCAAATCCCAAACCACTGAAGCAGACCACTCTTCCTATCTTTTTGTCTGCATGCTAAAGTTGCATATTGGTATTAACAAGATAAAAGTAATGGTGGGGGGGACGCCTGGGTGGCTCAGTTGGTTTAGCAGCTGCCTTCGGCTCAGGTCATGATCCCAGCATCCTGGGATCGAGTCCCACATCGGGCTCCTTGCTCAGCGGGGAGCCTGCTTCTCCCTCTGCCTCTGCCTACCCCTCTGTCTGCCTGTGCTCATGCTCTCTCTCTCTCTCTCTCTCTCTCTAACAAATAAATAAATAAAATCTTTAAAAAAAAAAAAAAAAGTAATGGTGGGGGCACCTGGGTGGCTCAGTCATTAAGCATCTGCCATTGGTTCAGGTAATGATCCCGCCCCGCATAGGGCTCCCTGCTCAGTGGGAAGCCTGCTTCTCCCTCTCTGACTCCCCCTGCTTGTGTTCCCTCTCTCGCTGTGTCTCTCTGTCAAATAAATAAAATCTTTAAAAAAAAAAAAAAAAAAGTAATGGTGAATGTTATTATTCTTTCTAGGGGAAGATTATTAGTTGGTACTTTTGTGGCTCTTTCCTTCAACTTGTTCACAATGCTTTCTATTCGGAATAAACCTTTTGCTTATGTCTCTGAAGGTAAGATTTTTATTTACCATTAATTAAAAAATCCAATTAATCTCTTATAAAAACAAGTCTGTGCTTATTTCCTTAACTCATAAATCAATGAGAAAGTTTATCGTGAAGAGAGAACTACCCTAGAGGTTCTCAGGTCTTCTCTAAGTAGAGAATTATAAAACAAAATCTAATTATTTCAAACTTTAAAATAATGTATTACTTAAAAACAGGCAGAACTGACTTATATATTAAATTTATATGATGAAAAATTACATTTGCCAAAAAACACGAATGGGATTTTAGATGTATAACCTACCTACAAAAAGTCTATTGCAAGCATTTTGGAAGCATCAGTATACTTGAAATAGTTGATGTACTCTTTGCAAATAATTGTATTCTGTTAAATTCCCAGGAACTTCTTTTTGTCAGTGGTGGATGGGCGTATATTATAAAGTAGCATATATGTTTTGAAATACTCATTTGTTTTCAAGTCTTTAAAAATTCAGACTGATACTTCACTTCAGTGGTCAAAATTATTATCATTTTTCAGTCATTTCCATGTTCTGGAATTCCATTAACCCACTAAGTGTTAATCACTAATTGTTGGAGAAGTGAGGTAAAAAGAAAAGTGGGCTGTGTTCACAGACCCATACTTTGAAGCAAAGATTGGAGAGGGTCTTTTTAGGTCTCACTGATGTGAACACTAGGACAGCCAAGAGAAGAAAGCTCTCTGAGTTGCCCATTTAAATTTAAACAACTTTATGAATATTATGAAGCATGAGTTGTATTTATATGAATTAGAGTTTAAGAATTACTGCATGAACTAAAAAATTAAATAGTGATATTTGTAATGTCCAGAATTATTTTGAAAAAAATTACAAATTATTAAAATAGTATAACATTCATTCTAGAAATTTTAAGAAGGTACAGTGTTTTAGAAATGATATCTCTCCCTAAAGATCAGAAAGAGGTTTTCCTTTTATAAATAATGCTATAATCTGCTTTTTTATACCGAATATCTTGTATGCATCTCTGAGTCTTCTGTAGGATAAATTCCCAGAGAAGAAATTGTAAGTGGGTTGGAAATATATTTTAAGTCATTGATATATATTGTGCCAGACTTATTTCAGAAGGGTTATCTAATTTGTATTTTCATTAGCTGGATATTTGTGACATTAGTTGAAATTTGAGTGGAAGATAATACTGAACACTTCCTGTCTACCAGGCACTGTGCTAAATTCTTTATGTAGATTAACCCATTTAATTCTCCCTAAACCATACGAAGTAAACAATTTTATTATTCCTATTTTATACAGAGGCACTGAGAGATTAAATCACTTGCCCCAGGCGACACATTTAGCTAAGGCAGAGCTGGGTTTTAAGCCAGGTAGTCTAGCATCAGAGTCTTTTCTTAACTGCTCCACTATATGGCTTTTGTATAAAGTTTGCCGATCTTTTTAACATCATGTTACACATTAAAAAGTGAATATTTCTATAACCCTGAGATCAGTGTAAGAGGGTGCTTGAACCTGCAGGCTACTTATTCAGGGACAGTATCTGGCCGGTGTCTGCATGTCCCGGATCCCTACTTGCCCTTTGTGAGAGCTGAGAGAATTAATTGGTTTACCTATAACCCATTCTCAGCACACTGGTTAGGAAGTTCTGCTTTACATTTAAGGAGCCTTTAAAACTTAAAATTAATAGTAACAGTGGCATATGTAAGCTTACTAATTCCTTCAGGTCAGTGATACAAATAGTTGAAACTGCTTTTATTTTATTATCTTGAAGGCTTAAAAGAGAAAAAAGGTCCAGATTTGAATAGCATGTCCTTTTGTAAAATGTGATACAGTCATTGCCAAACTTATTTTTTAATTAAGGAAATAAAATATTTCTGATAGTGCTTTTTTTTCTATAGAGGTAATTTAAGTGTTTTCTTCTTAAAGCTGCTAGTACGAGTTGGCTTCAAGAGCATGTTGCGGATCTTAGTCGAAGGTAAGATGTTATGTATGGGGTTTCGTGATACACGTAATTTCAGAGGGATGCACAAGAAACTCATCTGTCATGGGAACTTAGATTATTTGTTACCGAAGTTACTACATGAATCTTACAGATCAGACTCTTATTCTCCTACTTTTTCTGACTTCTTTTTTTTAAGATTTTTATTTATTTTAGAGCAAGAGAGAGCACACGGTGTGGGCGAGGGGCAGGAGAAGGAGAAGCAGGCTCCCTGCCAAGCAGGGAGCTCAACATGGGTTCAGTGTGGGGCTGGGTCCCAGGACCCTGGGATCATGACCTGAGCTGAAGGCAGATGCCCCACTGAGTGAGCCACTTAGGCATTCCAATTACTTTTTAACTGATGATGTAGGAGACCTTTATGAGTGAGAGAGCTTTGTTCGCAAATCTTCTTTGCTTTCTGTAAAAGACGTATGTTAGTAAAATACAAGATTTTCATCAATGTTACATTGAGTTCTGCTAATGAATATTCTTTATTTCTTCATAGCTTGTGTGGAATTATTCCGGGACTTAGCAGTATCTTCCTTCCCCGGATGAATCCATTTGTTTTGATTGATCTCGCTGGAGCATTTGCTCTTTGTATTACATATATGCTAATTGAAATTAAGTAAGTATTTTTTATTACTGTCAAGTGGTTTCCGTTTGGGGTGCCTGACTTTTAAAGGCATCTGTGGGGTGGATAAGAATTGAGCTTAGAGCATGTTTGCTTATGGCCTGTGTAACTGTGGTTAAGTCTTGTCCTTAAGTGTCTTCATCTGAAAAATTAAGGGGGTTGGATTCATCACGTATTTTTCATCATAGTCTATAATTCAGACTAGAAAACTGTTTAAATTCCCTACTGCTGACCTAGTGAGTTGAAACAGAGATGTCAGTAAGAGAGAGATAAGCCATGGCTATTGTTGCTTAGAGAAGGAAGAGGATGTAGGTGTGAAACCATTTTTAAATGGCAAGCCTTTTAGGAAATATACTTTATAGCTGCTTTAAGCTTAGTGTTTTATAAGATTTTTTTACTACCTACCCTTTAAATATTAGTGTTTACTAGGATCTTTCCTTAATTATTCTTTTTCCTCTTTTACATACTCTCCTGGGAGATTACATTCTCTTACTTGTTTTTATTTATAACCTCTGAGTTTCCCAAACCTTTATTTCTAGTCTGGATGTCTGTTGAATTCCAAAAGGCGTATCCTACTGACTTCTATTCTTGTCTACAGCAGTTGAACTTATTTTCCCCATCCCCAAAGCTGTTTGTTCTTGTATTTCCCATCTCAGGGAATCCTACTGCCATCTATTGCATTGCATTGTTTTTTTTTAAATTGTGTTAAAACATATATAACATAAAACTAAAATTTTAACCAATTTTAAGCACACAGTTCAGTGACATTAAATACCTTCACATCATTGTATAAGTATCACCACGGTCCGTCTCCAGAACTTTTTTATCTTCCCTACCTGAAACTAAGTACCCATTAAATAGTAACTCCCCCTCTTCCTTGCCCCAACCCCTGTAGAAGAGAAGAACCACTCTTCTACTTTCTGTCTCTATGAATTTGATGAAGTCCTTCCTGTAAATGAAATCAGGCAATATTTGACCTTTTCTGTTTGGCTTATTTCACTAAGCATAATGTTTTCAGGATTCATCCATGTTTAGTATGTGTCAGAATTTTCTTCCTTCTTAAGGTTGAATAATATTCCATTGTACATAAAAACACATTTTGCCGACCTATCCATTGCTGGAGATTTGGATTATTGCCACATTTTCACTATTGTGACTAGTGCTGCTGTGAATGTGGGTCTACAATATCTGTTTGAGTCCCTGCTTTCAATTCTTGTGGGCAATTACCCAGAAGTAGAATTGCTGGATTATATGGTAATTCAGTGTTTAATTTTTTTAGGAACTCCAGTGCATTCTTAAATAACCTACTTCTCCCTCCTCCCCTCTCATCCCTCCCAAAGCCACTTCTAATTGGCCACCCAGTCTTGTGTTTGGTTTTTTGTTTTTTTTTTTTAAAGATTTTATTTATTTATTTGACCGACAGAGAGAGATCATAAGTAGGCAGAGAAGCAGGCAGAGAGAGAGGAGGAAACAGGCTCCCTGCCGAGCAGAGAGCCGGATGTGGGGCCCGATCCCAGGACCCTGAGATCATGACCCGAGCCGAAGGCAGAGGCTTTAACCCACTGAGCCACCCAGGCGCCCCTTGTGTTTGTTTTTTTTTAAGTTTTTATAGTCACTATGCTGTATATTACATCCTCAGAATTTACATGTCTCATAACTGCAAGTTTGTATCTTCTGATCACCTTCACCCATTTCTTCCCCCTCTTCCCCCCTGCATCTGACAGCCACCAAACTGTTCTGTTTCTTATGATTTTTAGATTGCACATATAAGGGAGATCGTAATAGTATTTATCTTTCTCTGTGGTGTTATTGTAAATGGCATGGTTTCCTTCCAGTTTTGTGTGTATGTCTTTGGGTGTGTACAACTCACATTTTTTATCCCTTCATCTGTCAGTGGATACTTAGGTTGTTTCCATGTCTTGGCTGTTGTAAATAACAGTCTTGTCAGCTAGTGTGATTAGATCTTTCTTTTTAATTTGTCTGCGCCTTCCCATTCTCCTTGCTGCTGCCCATATTGAGGCCTTACCATTTCCTTGATCTCATTAGAATAGTCTTCTGGTCTTCTATCATTCTCACACCTCTCTAGTTACCTCCCATTTTGCTGCTAACGTCATCATTCAAAATTGCAGTCTGACCTTAACATTTTCTTGTTTCAAAATCCTCTTCTTCACATACTTAAGAATATAAAAGTTGTTAGAATGATAAAGCCCCTGCCACCCTTACTGGCCATCCAGCTGTGTGTACTTACCTGCTCTTGTTTCAGTGCTGTATCAGGACTTTGTGCCTCTGCGCATGCTGCTTTCCCTGTCTGCGGCATCTTCCTCCCATCTGCTCGCTCATATTGGAGGAGTCAGCTCAGATGTCCCCTCTTTTTATATTGAGTCCTTCTGGATTATCCCTTTCTCAGGAGTCTTGTTGCTCACTCTGTGCATCCATGATACCCTATAGGACTACTTTGTTCCCACATTGCTTTATTTTCTTTACATGGGTATCTCCTGCTGTTTCAAAGGTAGGGACTATGTCTTACCTCCATTTTCTGTTCCCAGCATGTGGGGGAAAAGTAAAAAAAGAGTTCATGATCAGCTTGTAAACATTTTGGTCTGTCTTCTTAGTAAAACAGCCTGAGCTGCTGATGAGTGTTGTACTCTAGTGGCCAGTGTTCCTCTGACAGACTCCTGTGGAATCCCACTTTGTGTAATTCCTAGGGAGTTTCAAAAAAATTCTTAGTACTAATAATTGGAAAGGTGGTGCTTACAGGAAATTGCCAGAATCACTGATGAAATACATTAGTCTTCTCTGTATAAGAAATTACTAGGTGAAGGTTTTTATTTGTGGCAACAAGTGGATATATGTGAAATCTTTCTACCTGGCAAGTAGATTGAGAATACGTAATTGGAAAATATTCACATTTTTTTCTTTCACCATCTCTTCACACTGCTTAACATAATTATTATTTTCCATTAAACTTTGGCAGGAAGGATTCTGAAAACGTTTTGTTGTTGTTTTTTGTTTGGTTGGTTTTTTGGATGTTTTTTTTGGAGACACTCCCATTGCCAGTAGTGGCCATTATTGCTAAAACAGTCCTGTTGCTTTAGATAATTGATGTTTTGGAAGATTGAATTGTAAGTAGCCCAATGAGGCATACATTTAAAATTCGGAATTGTTTTTTCCTTTTAGCAATTATTTTGCTGTAGACACTGCTTCTGCCATAGCCATTGCTCTGATGACGTTTGGCACTATGTATCCCATGAGCGTGTACAGTGGCAAAGTGTTACTGCAGGTAAGGGTCTTCTTTCGATTACACGCTTAATATTAGTCACAGTTTTCTACCAGATTACAAAATTATATGTGCTTTTCTATCACATTGTGAAATTTTTAGCTACTGGAAGTCCCCATCAGAAATAGTCAAACAATAATCTCTGAAGTCTATATAGTAAGAACCAGATAATTCTGTTGGCCCATAAAATAGGCACAAATCTTTCCATATTTATAATACAAAATCATAAGCTAAAAATATTTCGCCTCTAATGTTTCAAGTGGAAACAATGTTAATTAGAAATTTTTTTTACATACTGATTTTCCCCCAGTAAATGTGCTTTATCTATTTTGTAATCTGGTTGTGATTGTTTTCTTATTTCCTGTCCTTGAATTAATGAGACTTTTCAATTTCAAACTTAAAATTCAAAATGACAGATTACTATATATTTAAACAATAAGAACACCTATAGACAAGCACCTGAACACAAAGGTAGTTTCCCAGGGGTGACATATTTGTAAGCACTGCTTTTCCTTCTGTCTTACCTCATGCCTTTTCTAAAACTTAGGGGTACTAGCTCCAGCTCCAGAAGCAGTAATAACAATAAGATAATAGTTGTATGGTACTATCCCATATACGAAAGATTTTTAGTTGGTTGCTTGATTCTTCAAAAGGGTTGTTTGGGTCTAGAGATAATGCTTCTCTGTGAGATGAAAAATAAGTATGAGCTGATTCTTGTTATTGCCCCACTAGGTGGAGCCTACTGAAACCTCTCTTCACTAAATCATGTTAGGGCACATGTCATACAGTGCAAAGTCTGGTATAAGCCAATCTGTTAGTTTTAGGACCACTATGCAAGAGAAATTTTTTTTAAAGATTTTATTCATTTATTTGACAGAGAGACAGCAAGAGAGGGAACACAAGCAGGGGGAGTGGGAGAGGGAGAAGCAGCCTTCCCACTGAGCAGGGAACCTGACGCTGGGCCAAGCCGAAGGTAGACGCTTAACGACTACTAAAAACAAAATTTTTTTTATGTGTTTTATTTTATTTTCTCTCTAGACAACACCACCCCATGTTATTGGCCAGTTGGACAAACTTATCAGAGAGGTAAGATGGAATAGTAAATAAAATCATTTTAATTTATACTTAGAGGATGGAAAGAGTGGGTACAAATAATATTTTATTCAGTCTTACCTACATTTTATTTTAGAGGAGTTTGTATTGTTTATAATAACATAGTAGGAGATAAAATACAGTGACAAAAGTAAAAAATTTGAAGAATTGCTCAGCCTGGAAGCTTGAAATAAATGTGTAAGGGAAGGTACTGGTCTAGAGACCATACTACTAGCTTTCTAAATGCTATAGTTTTTATGAGTCTATGTTCAAATCCAGGACTTTGATTAAGTCAAAGGCCACTATTACATGTTGATTGATTATTTCACCATGTAACATATTGATCTGTGAGTTTAGATTTTTTATTTTATAAATATCTACCTCTTTACTAATGAAGGAATAGATAATTAAATTATTTGGATTTTGAAATATTTGAAATACTTCAAACTATTGGTTGTTGGTATCACAAAGGCCACTTTTACCAATATAGCTGGCTACTTGTCTTAGTGAAGCCTGTGTCTTTATACCAGTGGGCCATACACGATATGTCTGGTCTTAGAATTTCTTTTTGGCCCACATTCAAATAACAGCCTCTGTTGTGCAGAAACTTGTTAAAAGGGAATGCAGAGAAAGAAATGATAGAGAACCCCCCCCCCAAAGGGAGAAAAATCTAACACTGCAAGTGCTGGATATAAATATATGACATATTGACAAAATGAAAAGAACCATACATTGCTGAACAAGGTGGTTCTGGGGGTAGGTGGTGAAGACCTGATTCTGAAGGGATTGGGCCAGACAAGAAACAGAATCCAAGGTTTTGGCTCACTACCAAACAAGTAGAAATGATGTTGTGAGTGGTCTGAGACTTCTCTTGGCTAATGGGTGTCCTCATGCAGAGTTTGACCATGTCATTTCTAGGCTTTGATCAAGTCCATAATGTGACTAACTGTGTTGGATATGTCAAATACAAACCTATTTCTTTGTTTTTGATTAGGTATCCACCCTGGATGGAGTTTTAGAAGTTCGAAATGAGCATTTTTGGACCCTAGGTTTTGGCTCATTGGTATGTTTTCCATATTAATTTAGATAATTTACAGTATAGTTTATAATTTTTAAAACTAAAAAAGCATTTCTTTAAATTTTTTATAGTCTTTGATTACCATTTCTGTTCAATAGAGTCTAAAATGTAGATGGATTCAGTAACCTAATTGAGATTAATTGAAGGATATTTTTCTTTTTTTTTTTCCTTTCAAACTACTATTAATGATCTTCATACTGGGTTGTCCAGATAAGACAACTCTCTAGTCACACATTTCTGGATATGAAAATATCTGAAAAGTAAAAGGTACAATTTTTTTAAATTGTGGTTCTGCTTTTGGAGATTTTCCTGAATATGTTAAATAGTTAAAATAACACAACTTGCTTCAACATAAAATTCCATATTTTTTATATTAACCTTAAAAAGAAAACCAGTTATTTTACTAGCAAAAAATGGATTTATTTGGGAATAGAGAATTGCAATTTGGCACAAGCAAGCTACAGCAAAACCATAGGCAAGTCTGAAGAACAAAAGAAAGAATGCTCTTTTATATAGAGGGAAGGGGGGAGTTATAAGTGAAAAATCCAGTGGAGGAAACTGAGAGTTCAAGTGTTGTGGCTTTCATTGCTGAGTTGCTCCAGTCTCTCATTGGCTGGGATGTTGTGGGGGATGAAGGAAAGCCTCCTTTGTCCTGCTGATGTAATAAAGTCATAGCTAAAGTAGTATGGACTTGACCTCTCTTCCTCTTGAGTGTGCAGTTGACTGAAGGCCGGTAGTGACTAGGGCCGATAGTGCCTCAAAGCCCCTCCCTTCTGGCTTCCCAACTCCCATTTTAGTAAGGTTTCTTTTAATTAATTTTCACAAATCCACTTTGGACCCATTACCAGAGAGACTATTATGGCATGGTTTCATTCCTGTCAGAAATAATGAGGAAAATACTGAAAAGTACTCAGAAAAAGACTTTTTTTCATCACTGTAATACTTTCATGTAGAGAAACCTGCCATGACATTTTCTTATTTATACCCATATATGTACTCTCCTTAGAAAATGAGACCATGCTGTTTATAATTTGTTCTTTTCATATAATATATCATGAACAGTTCTTCTGTGTCACTAAATATTACTATTGTGCTCAGATTTTTTTTTCTCTTAAATGTGACTTGATCTTTGCCTAAATGCCTAAAGGTTTTTGGGTGTTTTTTTTTTTTTTTAATCCCATAATTTCACTAGACTATGTTTTGGTGTTGGTCTTTCTGGGTTAGTTACTCTAAGTATGCAATATATCCTTTCAATAATTTTATTTCAAAAATTTTTTTTAACTTTCAGGGAAGTTTTGTAATATTTGTTCTCTTGGTTGTTGGTGTTTTTTTTTTGTTTTGTTTTATTTTTTGTCTTCTTTGGGAACTCCCATTTCTTTTTTTTTTTTTTTTTTTTTTTTTAGTTTTTTTTTTTTTATTTGACAGAGAGAAAGAATCATGACCTGAGCCAAAGGCAGAGGCTTAACCCACTGAGCCACCCAGGCGCCCCGAGAACTCCCATTTCTGAAGTGGTTGTTTTTTTTCTTGTATTTCTTACTGTCTCATTTCTGAGGTTTTCTAATGCTGATTTATGTTCTTGTTTTATGTCTTTCAGCTTGTTTTGAAAAAATTGGCTATAGTTCTTACTCGTTCTCTTTTTTCTTATAATAACTTTGTGCGTGATTTGGATTCAGTCCTTTTCTCTTGCTCCTTTTTATAAAAAATTGTATTTCTGAACTTTATTTTTTTTATTTAAATTCAATTAGCCAACATAGAGTACATCATTAGTTTCAGATGTAGTGTTCAGTGATTCATCAGTTGCATATCACCCCCCCGCCCCCGTGCTCATCACCACAGGCGTCCTCCTTAATCCATCATCCAGTTACCCCATCCCCCGTCCACTTCCCCTTTCCGCAACCACTCAGTTCGTTTCCCAGAGTCAAGAGTCTCTCGTGGGTTTTCTCCATTTGATCTCTCCCAATTTTCCCTCCCTTCCCCTATGATCCTCTGTGCTATTTCTTATGTTCCACCTATGAGTGAAACCGTATGATAATTGTCTTCCTCCGGTTGACTTATTTCACTTAGCATAGTACCCTCCAGTCCCACCCTCATCAATGTAAATGGTGGGGATTCTTCCTTTCTGATGCAGAACTTCAAAACTAGGAGTGGTTTAGAGTAGTGTGTTTGAATTTATGGTTCTAAAGCTCCCTCTTCTGATGAGTCTGTGAAGTGAAAATTTTCTTTCTCCTGGTTCTATTCCCCCTATTTGTATCTGAATTTGTTTCTACTGTGTTGCCCAGTTTGAATTCTTTATCTTTTGTTTCTGCTGTATTGCTCAATGGTATTGGATTGGTAGGTTCAGAAACAATCGTTTGTTCTTAACCTGGGGCTTTATAATGGGAGTTTTGCTTGGCTACTTTGGAGAGCTCACAGGGCTTAGGCTGCTCCACCTCTTCTTACTGCAGACTCCGTGTACTCACCCGCTATTGAAATGTGTAGAACCGGGGCCCTGGGTGGCTCAGTGGGTTAAAGCCTCTGCCTTTGGCTCAGGTCATGATCCCAGAGTCCTGGGATGGAGCCCCAAGTCAGGTTCTCTGCTCAGCAGGGAGCCTGCTTCCTCCTCTCTCTCTGCCTGCCTCTCTGCCTACTTGTGATCTCTGTCTGTCAAATAAATAAAATCTTAAAAAAAAAAAAAATGTGTAGAACCCTGCCCAGTTTCCCAGCTGCCTTTTTCAAATTTGCTGTCCTAGATTTCCATTAAGTACAGGTTAGCTGCTTTGAGGTTTTTAGGTCAGTCAGATTTCCTGTCACTTCCTCCTCCACAGACACTGATACCTTGCAGGTTTTAAGCCTTGTAATTCGGGTTCCTTAGGGAAACCATGTTATGTAGGGTTTTTTTATAGATACCGCCCAGAGGATTTTGGATTTAATATCTTAGTTTTTCTGTTTTTTTCTGGAGATATTTGGGGCATTTCAAAAAAATGCCACTACTACTGCTGTTTTTCAGGAATCCCAACATAATTTTTAGTGGCTTAAGTTTTGTTTTTTGGTTTTTTTTTAAGATTTTATTTATTTATTTGACAGAGATCACAAGTAGGCAGAGAGGCAGGTAGAGAGAGAGAGGAAGGGAAGCAGGCTCCCTGCCGAGCAGAGAGCCCGATGTGGGGCTCAATCCCAGGACCCTGGGACCATGACCCGAGCCGAAGGCAGAGGCTTTAACCCGCTGAGCCACCCAGGCACCCCTAATGGCTTCAGTTTTCACATTATATGAATATGCCATCATTTATTTAATCGTTCCCCAATGGACAAAGTATTATTCCATTTTTCCCATATAAAAAGAGCTGGGGTGAACATTTTTGTGGAATAGCCTTTGCACAAACTTGTGATTATTCCTTAAGATTAATTTTTTAGAAGTTGTTTTTTGAGTCAAATGATACTCGTGTTGGGGCACCTGGCTGGCATGTAGAGCATGCGACTCTTGATCTCGGGGTTGTGGGTTTGAGCCCCAGGTTGGGTGCAGAGATTACTTAAAAATAAAATCTTTTTTTAAAAAAGGGATATTCACATTTTTATACTTTTGATATAGCCAAAATCACTTTCCAAAAATGGCTATACCAGTTTACATTCCTTCAGAAATGTAGTTCATTTTTTTAAAAAATTTATTTATTTGAGAGAGAGAGAGATAGTGGGAGGGTGGGTGGAGGGAGGGAGAGTCCCCAGCAGACTCTGCGCTGAGCACAGAGCCCAACAAAGGGCTCAGTGTCGTGATTCTGAGATCACAGCCTGATCACAGCCTAGAGTCAGATGCTCAGTTGATTTCGCCACCCAGGCACCCCCAAACGTAGTTCATCTTCAATCATTCTTTTAATTTTACCAATCTTAATAAAGTAGTAGATAAGTGTTTATTTAGCAAGGTGGCCTATGAACACAAAGAATATAGTCACCCAGCTGCTCGGGATATGTCTGCCTAACCTGCGCCCGCGCAGGGCCTAAGTAAGACCGAGGACAGAATAAAACAAGCTTGTAAGCTGCTGAGAGTCGTTGTCACAAGAGCCATAAATTACTGCAAACACCACAGCCATAGCAGACTTTGTCCAAGCTCCTGCACGGAAATGGTTTTCACTTACTTTAATTGCTTTAATTTCCGTAGCCGACTGAAAGAGATCACGGTGTCTTTTATAGTTTTGTCTAGTGATGACTGTGAGATGGTAGGGGCCAAGAAAAGGGAGAAATCAGAGATGACTTCATTTCAAGACATGGTTTGTCTTTTTTTTTTTTTTTTCCAAAGATTTTATTTATTTATTTGACAGAGAGATCACAAGTAGGCAGAGAGGCAGGCAGAGAGAGAGGGGGAAGCAGGCTCCCCGCTGAGCAGAGAGCCTGATGCGGGGCTCGATCCCAGGACCCTGAGATCATGACCTGAGCCAAAGACAGAGGTTTAACCCACTGAGCCACCCAGGTGCCCCAGACATGGTTTATCTTACATAAAAATAATAAACTAGAAGTCAAATTGAGGATTATATTTTCTTCATCTTATGATTGACGGTAACTCTCTCACTACTGCTAAAGTCACAGATTCAGACATATTTTAACAAAATCAACTACTTGGCTAATTTATATGCACTTTATTCTTTGTTATAATTTTTTTTCTTTTTTGAAAATCTGAGATTTGAGTTTATCTAAAAGTCAACATTGAATGTCTGCTGGATTTTTTTTTTTTTTTTTTTTTTTTTTTTACAGCAAGAGAGAAAATGGGGAGGGGAGACACAGAGGGAGAAGGAGAGAATCCTAAGCAGGTTCCACACTCATCATGGAGCCTGATCTGGGGCTTGATCTAATAGCCCTGAGATCATGAACTTATTCAAAACCAAGAGTTGGACACTTAACTGAGTGAGCCACCCAGGTGCCTTTCTGGTGGACATTTTATTTAATTTTAGTTACTATATATTTTTCACATAAGTTTTATTATGCAAAGAGTACCTGATTCTTAGAAAAATTAAAACTTATAACTAAGTCAAAGAGAAGAGAATAAAAACCTTTAATAATTCCACCCTCTAGAGATAAGTGCTGTTACTCTTGGCTATTTTTCTGTCTCTGTGTGTTTTAAACAAAATAGGATCATTGTTGTACCTACTCTTTTATTACCTACTTTAAAAACATAAAATATGGGGCGCCTGGGTGGCTCAGTTGGTTAAGCGTCTGCCTTCAGCTCAGATCATGATCTAAGGGTCCTGGGATCAAGTCCTGCCTCGGGCTCCTTGCTTGGCAGGGAGTCTGCTTCTCCCTCTACCCTTCCCTCCTGTTCATGCTTTCTCTCTCCCTCAAATAAATAATAAACTCTTAAATATGTATATAAAAATTAAGAAAAACAATGTATGATAAATGTCTTTTCAGTAAATAGACTTCTAGCTATTATTATAATGCCTGGGGTTCTCTATCGTCATAGTAACCCAGGCTAGAAACTTTGAGATCATCTTTGATTAATTGGTCCATATCCCTCACCATTACATCCATTTGGGTATCAGGTTCCCACACATCTAACCCATGGGATATCATCAATCCATCTGTCCCTCTCTGAGCCCACTGTATTTGTCCTGTCTCAGTCCTCTTCATTTCTAACCTAGACTTGTACTCATTTCCTACCTAATTTCCAATCATTCATACCTATAGCTTTTCTGAATTTTGACTATTTTACTTCTGATTGATTGCTGCTATTCAAATTTGTGATTTTTAGAGTCCTCTGCTAGCATTTCTTTTAACCTTACTACCTGCTTATCTTTCTTTCCTTCTATATTCTTTCTTCTTTGTTTCCTCTTTCCTTCTTTCTTGTTTTTCTCTTTCATTCTTTTTCTGCCCCCTAAAATATTTGTACTTTTTAATTAATAGTAATACTGCTTATTCTTGTCCAAATATACCATGCATTTTAATTGCTATTCTCTCAGCTTAAAATGCCTGTCTCCACCTTTTGAAATTACATTTATCCATCAACCGTAGATCAAATGCCATCTTTTTTTGAAGTCTTCCTCAATTTGTTAGTAGTTACCTTTTCTATCCTTCCACTGCATTTTCTATGTACTTTATATTCTGCCTTAAGTTATAGCATGCCTGCCCTCCTCCTATTTGTATTTCTCTTTTTTATATATTTTTAAAAGTCACATTTTATTTAAAGAGACATAAAGAACTTCATTAACTCTTCACATTGATAATCATTACTGAGTAGTCTTTAAGGAATACTGAGATACTATATTTTCTCTTGTTTTTTAGAAAATATCGAGGGGTGCCTGGGTGGCTCAGTCAGTTAGGCATCTGCCTTTACCTGAAGTCGTGATCCCAGGGTCCCTGGATCAAGCCCCTCTTCGGGCTCCCTGCTCGGCAGGGTCTGCTTCTCCCTCTGCCCCTCACCCTGCTTGTGCTTGTTCTCTCTCCCTCACTCTCAAATAAATAAGTAAAATCTTTTAAAAAAGCTTTTTTAAATAAAGAAAAGACCAAGTGCAGTTACAACTAAATCATAAATGTTTATTTCTAATGGAATTTTCAGTGATATAATTTTAAGGATCTCTTTTCTATGATTTTGCCCCTTTTAGGCTGGATCAGTTCATGTAAGAATTCGACGAGATGCCAATGAACAAATGGTTCTTGCTCATGTGACCAACAGGCTATACACTCTAGTGTCTACCTTGACTGTTCAGATTTTCAAGGATGATTGGATTAGACCTGCCTTACTCTCTGGGCCTGTTGCAGCCAACGTCCTAAACTTTCCAGATCATCACATAATTCCAATGCCTCCTTCAAAGGGTGCTGATGATTCAAACCCTATCACATCGACTCCAGCTAAACCTAGTAGTCCACCTCCAGAATTTTCATTTAACACCCCTGGAAAAAACATAAACCCAGTTATTCTCCTAAATACCCAAACAAGACCTTATGGTTTGGGTCTTAATCATGGACACACACCTTATAGTAGCATGCTTAATCAAGGACTTGGAGTTCCAGGAATTGGAGCAACCCAAGGATTCAGGACTGGTTTTACAAATGTGCCAAGTAGATATGGAACTAACAATAGAATTGGACAACCAAGACCATGATGTACTGTAATTTAATTTATTTTTATGAGGAATATTGACTCCTTGACTTCCAATTTATTTACTAATCCAACTGTGCATTGACTGTTCAATCATTTACTCTAAATGCTAGAGAATAGTGGGTTTGTTCCCATTACATGAAACTGATGAAACTTTATTTTTTTAAAATGTATTTGGGACTGTGAGAACCTTCTAAATGTCATAGGGTTTAAATAGGCTTCCTATAGAAAGTGTGTTTCTCTAAATTTGAATTTTGCTATTTTTGGTTTTATAGTTGACTGCAGTGTGATAGACATCATCTTTACAATAAGAGAACCACTTAATGGAACAGATCTGTCACATGATTAAAAGTATAATGTTTTCTTCAGTGAAATTTATAAACATGCTTCTTTAATGATATACATTTTAGGAAAGGGAAAAAAATGTCCATTCCAAAAGCAGAAGTCTCTTTTATAGCTTTTCCAAACTTAATTGCTACATTTTTCTTTGAGGTCCTCTTGATTTATGTCTTGCAAAAGAAAAGCAGAATTTTTTATCAGAAATTTTAGACCATATTCTACTATCTAGCATAATTTGAAATATGTTTTTTATAGTTTTTCTCATTAAAATATTTCAGTACATTTATAAATAGTCCGTGGTTCTCAAAGTGTTTTATTTTGCTTAAATGAATACCAAATCCTTTGGTAATGTGAAATGAAGGAATCGCAGTTTTCTGACTTACATAAAACAAACAAAAAACACCAAACACCCAAATACTGACATAATGATGGAATTTATCTTGTCACCCTTTCATTGGTTGACTTTTTAATCTCTCATTAACAAGATATATCAAATATATTATAAAATTTGTGGAATTCCATGCATAATACGGGATTTGATATCTTTTCAAAGTTGCATAAACAATATGAGTTTATATTATATAATTTTACCAAAACATAATAGACCCTAGGTTATAGAATACAGTATTGTTAGGTGTGTAACAGGCAATTTCTAACTATTTTGATTTGCTTTGTCAAAATCATAAATTGTTAACTGTGCTGAAGTGTAAGAATCATATGGATTATATTATTTTTTTATTATTTTCCAAATGCAAATGTTAAGGACTTGCCAACATGGCAAGTACTACTTATAAAAAATATCACGAACAGCAAATGACAAAAATTACCTGAGGTGTTTTTTGTATTTTGTTTTTATCACAAGTTTTATAACTAGAGTTTTAAAAAAGGTATTTTGAGAGCGGATTCAACTTCTCCGGAATCTAGTAGTCTTGGAGACTTTCGGCTTTTCCAGCCATCAGCCAGCTATGTGGAGATTTTTGTTTTTTGAAGAATTTGCCAGTTTCTTCAGTCAACTCATCCTTTTTAAAATATGAACAACATTTCCAAATCGGATTTCATGGTGGATTCACAAACGTCCAAGAAGCCACCTCTGTCAAGCAGAATTACCATCATCCTATAATAAGTGACCGTGTCCCAGCTTTTGCATGGTGAAGAGTTGGTCATTGACTTTAATATCTGCAGTCCTGTTCAGGCATTTGACCTGCTGAAGAACTAGAGCACACACGACCTTGACTGCTGGGGAAAATGAAATGTCGTAAAATGTACTATGGCAACCAGTTCCTTCTCCTTTGTCTTATGTCCTCCAGCTATTAGTATACCTATTGGTCTACTATTACAGGGTGATTTTTCCTCCGTTGACCTCATCCAAGTGGGTCATACATGAAATTTGAAGAACTGTCATGTACTGAGTGGAGATTAAGAGGTCTGTGCTGCCATCCTTTGCATGTCTTTTCCATTCTTATGGGATTTTTAAAGTGTGCAGGAACTGAACACAATTTTGCATGATGTTAAATGCCTGTTTTCCTCAACACCTCTTCAGAGGCAACACCTGTGTAGTTGTCCCACCAAAGGTGCTTTGATCCCCACCTACACTAAGAAATTTCCTGTGGATTCTAAAGGAATTGGCTCTACTTGCTGAAATTCACCAATGCCAACTGCTGCAGGTGATATTGGTCCATGCATTATTATATAACAAAGTCTTATTTGCCAAGCTCTGCCCAGCATCTGGATGTGAAAACAAGAAACTTGGCCAACACAGGTCTAGAGGCAGTAGTCTTACTAATAAATCTTACCGGAGTCATGTGAAACTAAACAAAGAAAGAAGTTTAAATTGACTACTTGGCCCATGGCTTGTGATTAAGAGCAAGTTCCATGGAGTGTAATTAACCCTGTCTGAGAAAATGCCATAGTGTAATACACTGTAACGGAAAAAAACACTGGGTTAGAAGTCAAGAGATTTGGATTCTGAGCCCGATGCTGCCACTATGTAAGTAGTTTGGTTACCATGGACAAGTCATTTAACTTCTCTAAGCTTTATCATCTGTAAAGTTAGGGTGGGGAATGAATTAGTTGATCTGTAAACAATCAGCTCTACAATTTTATGACTAAATCTACAAACTATGCCCATTTTTGCTAAACAGTACTGTCCCCAGAACGCCCTTCCAGTGACTACCTCAGCATACAGGCCAAGTGTTCCCTCCACCAACACCCAAGCCGTTAATTTGAGGTGCCATGAGAATCGAGAAGGTGAACCGCAGGCTAACACCATTTAGGTTTTTGTTTATTTCAGACTTGCCTTGAGTTAAATCTGTTAAGATCAAACAGATTTTCCTTAGACATCTTTCTTTGTCGGGGAGGATTATTTTGGAGGGTGTTGGAGAAAAGTTTAGGACGGGGTACCCTTAGCTTCCTAGGGTACAAAAGAATGGGCTACATTTTTCTTCCTTAAGTCTCCGAAGATACAGTTGGAATTACATACATGTATCAGCAAATGGAGGAGTCCTGAGTTTCAAGCCTCTGATTTAGCTGCTCGTAAACTGCCAATTTTTTGCTGGACTAAGGTATGCTGATCTTTTCGGGAGTCTAATCCACTTCTTAGTGGAAAGGAAATTCTTTTTACATTCCAAATTGTTTGAACCACACTGTTTGAATAAAGACATACAGGGGTTTTTCTCCCTGATGTTAAATAATTTTGCCTTGTTTCTTTATTCAATAGCTATTTATTGGTCATTTCGTTTTATTCAGCAAATACTTATTGAGCATCCAGTACATGCCAGGCACTGTGCTAAGTAAATGTTAACACACAGTAGATCAATTTTTGTGACCTATTCTTGAGACCAAAGGGAACGTAAGGATAAACAAATGATCCCTTCAAGTACCTAGTAATCATACTTGTGATAAGACACAGAACTATTGCACATGTTGTCAGATGGAACTCCCTCCCACTTCCTCCTCTTCTTAGGTTTTATTTTTCCTGGCATCCTCCTTTTTTTTTTTTTTTTTCTGAATGATGAAACTAAGGAAGTAAATTTCCATGGAAAAGGACAGCTAGAGGTCATGATGTCACACATCATCCTCTTATCAGGAAAGGAAGAAAAAGTTTGGAAAGGGCAAGTTAGGCAGACACTGTTGAGAAAGGATCATTTTTAGGTTATCTAATGGATTGCTAAAGAGACTTTCAGACTCTTGCACTGGATGAGCAAAGATTATTAAGTCACCAGGCTAAAAGTAATGGGTTACCCAGAACATTCATGGGCTCATGATGGCCTTTATTTACTAGTGTTTTGTTTTTTTTTTTAAGATTTTATTTACTTATTTGGCAGACAGACACAGAGAGAGAGGGAACACAAGCAAGGGAAGTGGGAGAGGGAGGAGCAGGCTTCCCGCTGAGCAGGGAGACTGATGTGGGGCTTGATCTCAGGACCCTGGGATCATGACCTGAGCCAAAAGCAGATGCTTAACGAATGAGCCACCCAGGTGCCCCTAAGTTACTAGTTTAAAAGCACCTTTAGTAACACTAATATCGTCACCATCAAACTGCCACACAACGTGCCTAGCTTTTTGCACAAAAGTTAACTTTGATAACACATGGCTAAGTTTCCTGACTAATGCTGTACCAGGCAAAAATCTTGTAGTACTGAGGTTAAAAAAAAAAAAAACTAAACTAATTGCTTAAGATTCTGAAATACATTCATGAAGGCAAGCGATCTATCACTGCTCATATAATTTCCTGTCAAATCCAACTGCTGAAAGTTTTTCAAATGTTTCTTTTCAAAAATGAACCTAGATGAAAAAGTAGAAGTAAGCATGTTAGTTGGAAGTGAAACAATTTTTTTTTCTTTTTAAGAGAAATGGCTATGTTTGGACTGTGTTTTGCTTAAAGAAATCCTAGAATGCTCTCTAGGTAGGGCAATGATTGTGAGTCTGCTCCATTATATTTACAAGTTACATTTTTCCTAAAGTGTAAGAAAATCTGATAGTAATTGGTACCAGTATAGCAGACCAATATAAGCCAATTATATATTTTTTCACTTTTCCTGATTCCTCCAGGAAATGGAAGATGACTTTAAAATTGAGGTGTAAGAGATGCTGTTAAATATTTGTCACAGTTTTTCAAAACTGGAGTGAGACTTCATCAACCTTAGATCATTTCCTCTTCTTGAGAACCAAACACTATTGTTTCTTGGGTATGGCATATTCCTAACTGTAAACTTGAGTAAGTGAGCCTCTTTCAGACCTGGGTTTTTGGGGTTGTCTTTTTTTAATGCTTCCTAATGGAACTTCCTCCATTCCTTTCAGAATAGGGCACTCCTGCAAAGGGAAGATGGATATCCTAGGCATGAAGTCCAAGACAATAGCCTAAGGAATGGAGGGGTCCAAAAAGTAGGTTTCTCGGTGTGAAAGCTTGCACAGAACATCACCCACCTGCTTGGACTGCTCACTTCTGGACTGTTACAGAAGAGGGAAATAAAGTTCTGTCTTCTGTAAGTCATGGTGTGGGAGGGTCTCCTGTTATACCAGCTTAAGCTTGTGCCTAACCTAACTCATACCTAGGGCCTCTTTCCTCTCTTCCTCCTTCCCATAAGGAGCCCGTCTTTATTGGTTGTAAGCATTTTTCGCCCTGCTCTCTCAGACTCGCGTTTATATCCTTTCAGCCTCTGCCTCTTTTCCATTTGCTTCCTCGCATGGAATGCACTCAGCCACATCTCTTGTCTCTATGTAAGGCTCCTTCCCTAAAGGGCAGCTTTTCTCCTCTATTAGCAGCAGGTTTTGCCACCTCAAAGGAATTTAACAAAGAATTTAAAGCTGGAATTTTTTTTAAGTGCTGCATTATTTTACACTCCAACCACCAGGATATAAGGGTTCTAATTTGTCCAAGCCCTTGTTAACACTTGTTATTATCTGTCCTTTTTATTATAAACATTCCTAGTGGTTCAGAAGAGAGGTTTCATCATGGCTTTGATTTGCATTTCCCTGATGCCTGATGATTTTGAGCATCCTTTCTGGCTTATTGACGGTACACACACACACACACACACACACATATTTGCAGGTGATTTTTTTTTTAATTTAAATTCAATTAACATATATTATTCATTTCAGAGGTAGAGTTCAGTGATTCATCAGTCTTATATAACACCCAGTGCTCATTATATTACATGCCCTCCCTTAATGTCCATCTCCCAGGTACCACATTTCCCCGGCCAGCAGCCCTCACTTTGTTTCCTATGATTAAGAATCTTTTATGGTTTATATATATTCTTTGGAGAAATGTCTGTTCAGAACCTTTGCCTACTTAAAAAATTAAATTATTTATCTTTACATCAGTGAGTTGTAAGAGTTCTTTATCTAGAGAGTAGTCTTTTGTCAGATACAAAACTTGCCATCATGTAAAACTCTTCTGCCATTCTCTGGGTTCTTTTTTCACTTTCTTGATGATGCCCTTTAAAGCACAACAGTTTATAATCTTGATAAAGTCCAACTTATTTCTTATTTGTGTTGCTTGTCATAGCTAAGCTTTTGCCTAACCTGAAGTCATGAAGATTTACTCCTAGATTTTCTTCAAAATTTTTCGTTTCAGCTCCTACATTTATATCCTTGATGCATTTATTTAAATCTTTTTTTTTTTTAGAGAGAGATAGCACGAAAAAGAGGAGACAGAGAGAGAGGGAAAGAAGCAGACTCCCCACTGAGTAGGGAGCCATCCCAGGACCCTGAGATCATGACCTGAGCCAAAGCCAGACACATAACTGACTGAGCCACCCGGGTGCCCTGATTTTCTCCTAATTCTTAAATCAGTTTGGGAAATTATATTTTTCTAAAAACATGTTTTCTTTGTTTCAATTTTTTTGGTATCACAGTTGATGGATTTCCATATCTTTTAAACTTCTGATTAATCTAGAATATGACTCCTTTTTTGCCTTTGACCTTTGTAAAAAGATGTATTTGTTAACTTTAGGGAGAGAGTGGGTGGGAGGGGGCAGGGAAGAGAGAGTCTTAGACTCCATGCTGAGCTTAGAGCCTGATGCAGGGGTCCATCCCTAAGATCCCTAAGGACTTTAAGATTGTGACCTGAGCCAAAACCAGGAGTCACATGCTTAACCCTGTTGCACGACTCAGGTACCCTTGCCTTTGATGTTTTAAACAAACTCTCTTTTTTTAGAATGGTTTTAGATTTATGGGGAAATTGCAAACATAGTACGGAGTTGCTGTACACTCCACCCCTAGCTTCTGCTATTATTAACATCTTATATTTGCATGGCATATTCACTGCAATTAATAAACCAGTACTGATACCTGATTAAGTCTGTAGTGTACTGAGATTTCTTTAGTTTTTACCAGTTCCAGGATCTGTTCTAGGATTCCATCCAAGATACCACATTACATTTAATCATCATGTATCCTTACATTCCTCGTAGAACCTCTTGTCTTGTGACAATTTCTCAGATTCTTCTTGTTTTCGATTACCTGGACAGTTTTGAGGAGTATTGGTCAGGTATTTTGTAGGACTTGTCTGATGTTTTTCTGATTAGATTGGGGTTTTGCAATTGGGAGAGGAAGATCACGGAAGTGTAAAGTATAATTTTCCTTATATGTCCAGGGTACATACTATCAACACAGTCTGTCAAAGCTAATGTTGACCTTGATCACCTGGTTAAGGTGGTGTTCCATTTATCCTCTGTGAAATGTCTATACCAGCACTGAGGAAGTCACTATGGGCAGTCTACACTTAGGTAGTTGGAGTTAGGCTCCACTTTCTTGTGGGCAAAGTTATCTACATATTTGCAGCTTTGCATAGGAGATTTATCTCCCCCACTATTGTTCATTTATTCAACAATTTATATCAGTATGGATTCATGGATATTTATTTTATGCTTTGGAAAATAATCCAATGCTACTTTATTTATTTTATTGTTCCAGTTGCGCAGCTTTACTGTGAGCTCTTTTGGTTGGTTTCTGTGTCACTTTGACTTTCTCCTATTACTGTAGGTGTCTTTTGTTTGATTCTTTGTTTTGAGCCCTTCCTTACTTTTGTGGCACAGTATGATGCTCTAAGCTTATACATTTCCTGCCCTCGTCCTAGAATTAGCCATTTTGTCAAGTGCCCTGATTCCCTTTTATGTTTAAGATTTTATTTATTTGTCAGAGAGCACGAGCGGGGCGGGGGGAGCAGAGGGAGAAGGAGGCTCCCCGCTGAGCAAAGAGCCCAATGTGGGACTCGATCCCAGGACCTGGGGATCATGACCTGAGCCGAAGGCAGATGTTTAACTGACTGAGCCACCCAGCTGTCCCCCCTGGTTCCCTTTATTAGAGAATGGTATTAGAATCCAAAATCTGGGTACAGTGAGGGCTTCTTGCTTCCGAGGTGTCATTGCTTCTAAGTCCTCTCAGCTGACAGAGCAAAGAATATGTGTATGTACACATGTAAGAAAAACTCCATTCATGCTAGCTCCCATTCCTCCCCGTGTGTCTCCTTTAACTATGCATACAGAACACTCAGACACTTCTGGTCATCAAGTGTGTGAAAGCTTTTCCCCACATCATGCAATTCTGTGACACTAGGTGTATGTCCTACAAGTTAACTCGATTCTAGCACTATCAGCCTGGAAAT